AGACTGACACGCAGGAGATGCTCCAGACTCTTCATCTTCTGGAGTATCTGTCACATAAGGAGATGCTGAGAGAACTGTTGTTGTTTATCATGGAGATGGGAAGGTTCAGGGACTATGTATACAAATTCCTACAGGGGAGGGAGTAAACAAGTAAAGAAGGAAGAAACAGACTCCTTTAGTGGCATCCAGTGACAGGACAAGATGCAATGGGCACAAATTGAAATACAGGAAATTCCATTTAAACTTCAGAAAAAAAAATAAATTACTCTGGTGGTCAGATATCAGAACAGGTTGACTAGACAGATTATGGAGTCTCCATCCTTGGAGATACTCAGCACCCAACTGAACACAGTCCTGAGCTGTAGATGATACTGGTCTGAGTTGGGGGGGTTAGACTAAATGCTCTCCAGAGTTTCCTTCCAATCTCATTCTGTGGATTTGTGATTCTGTGTTAAAACTTCCATGCTATTGGGTCTGCAGAAGTGAGAACAAGTATGAGGTTCTGTTATTACTTGTTTGCATCAAGTAATTGACCAAGACAAGAAAAATGGTACCTGTATGACACTACAGAACATGGTTTTACAAGATTCTTTCTAAACCTACAGAGCTACATCAGTGCAAAATTATGTGCAAATCACACTTCACTTTTACACATATCTTTTATAAGTGTTGTGGCCTTCCATCACACACATGAATGGACATTTAAAAGATCAATCTAATAGTGGATTGTCACTCTCAGTCTGCTTAGACTGCAAGGGTGAGCTCTCTTTTCAGGGTAGGGATCTCAGCTATAATGTTCAGTCAGTAGGCAAGCAATCTTCATGTTGAGCCCAGCTTTGTGACTTAACAACTGTGAGAAATACTATTGTCCTTCATGGTAACTAGTTTACTAGAGGTAAAACACTTTACTGGAGCACTGGAGGTGCTCCTCCATTATAAATCCAGTAAGAAAGGCACTCAGACTATGCAGAGTGTCATTTAAAGTGCTATTTATTGATGCTAACACTGTAGAGGAAGAGATGATATGTCCCTTCAGACGGCAGAAACTCTGAGTTGTGCAGCTGCAAAAAGTCAGTATATGATTCGGGCGCAGCCCATTATGCAGACTCTGAGAAAGGGTTTCCCTCTTTTGGTCATTTGAATTATTATATGGTTTTCGCACAAGAAAACAACTCAATTTTTCTACCACCCAACAGAAGGAGTGTTCACTGTATGAATTCTTCCTACACTTCTAGGTAAAGGCAAGAACTTGAAGGTGGTATGAGGAGTACCAGTACCAAGTGGGAGATGCCTACAGGCTCTCTGTTACAATTAGCTGCCTATGTTTATTCTGCAGCTGAGATATTCACAGCACAACAGGGGCCCGAAGGATATGCTGTGTGTGCAGCACAGCGCAGCCATTGGCCTACTCAGGTTAAACTTTATGTGGATAGCCGTCCTTGATGTGCAATGATAGGGTTCATTACACTGAGACATGTGATGCTATCTCCAGTTGTCATTCTGCAGATGGAATTACAACATACTTGACGAAAGAAACCAGTTTACACGGATTATCTTACACTAATATACCCCAACCCAATCAGATTCAGCAGCTCATAGGGTTTCATAAAACCAGTTCTTGTAAAACTCCAGGAAGATTTACCATTACTCTTAATTTTCAGTAAAGGAAGGAAGAAAGCACTTCATTGCAAAAGCACCACTGCTTTAAGATCAAGAGCAAGTTTATTCATAAATTAGGCTCTTGTCAGATTTGGAAAGATCCTGTTCCTGAGGACGACGAGTACTTTGTAATCATTTATTTTAGGATTTGTAGGACTGGCACCAGTATGGCTATATAGTTGTCAGCAGTATGCAGCCCCTGCCTGCCCAGGCAGGAACCTGCCAGGCTGAAGTCAGAGCACTACATCCTGCCGACCCTCTTCTGGTAATGCTTGTGAAAGAGCCTCAGTGAAAGTTCATGTAGTGATTCTGTGCCAAGGACATGAGTGACTCACTGCGGTGGATGCTGTGGCAGTGGAGATTTGCCCATAGATGGCAGCGTTTGCTGTCCTTTTGATATCCTGGCGGTATTTGCATTTACTGTATTTGTTCCACCACGGATTGTGTTATACAGAAGGCCATAAACTCCAACTGAAAACACAGTTAGAGAAAACTTTCTGACTCATCTCTCAGGCTCTCTAAAAGTAAAAAGGAAGCCAGAATAGCATGACTAAAGAACACAGAAGTATGACCCTCATTTGTGCTGTGTATTGGAGAAGATGGTGTAGACCTGCTCTCTATAGCCAGATTCCCCTATACATAAACGCCTCATAAACGTCTGGGCAGTTTGCAGTTTATCTACACTTTGAGTTCAGTGGCCCTATCTATAGAGAATGTAAGTGTACCCCAGCACTGCAGTGTAAAAGAAGAAGCCTGTGAGGTGCAGAGAATCTCATTTAAGTGGTTTGGCTTATTCAGGAAGTCTACAGCAGAGCTGGAATTTGAATTCCTGAATCCTACCTTTAAAGGGGAAGCTGGGCACAAATGGTTCCTTAGCATCTCCAAGACAGCATATACATCAGCCACATCTGCTGAGCACTTTCTGGTGATGACTCACTGTCTATTTCTCCAAATGTGGTGTAGGAAGAAGATGTGTCTCTGATTTCATCCTTTCCTCCTCAAAATGTACCTGCTGCCTAGGCTGACTGTCAGCAGTGGAACTCATGAGCAGTACTAGTACTGAGGTGACCAGCCTTTAGCTTCAAACATGTGCAGAAACTTTGCAAGTCTGCAGTTCCCTTAAAATATTTTCCTTCTGTGGATTGAGAGACTCGCTCTACCAGATCGCTCCGGGACTGTGACAGATGGAGGGCCTGTCACCCAGCATGTGGTTATTTGTGTCTATCTGGCTCCACTCAGAGTGGGGTTGAGAGTCTCTGGGATTTTCTGTGGGAAAGTTTCTTTGTTATAAAACAGATTACAAAATATCTGGAAGGCCAGTTCTGTTTTATCTTACTCTGCTAGCAGCCTTAAAGGACAAGATCTGTGTAAACTGTATGTCTCATCCAAAACAAAGTTCAGTCTGAGTGACAATACCATTATGGGGATCACAACCATAGGATTTGTTTAAAAGCATTTAATTATTATATTCTTATAGGATAAGAACATGGGATATGCAGAATGTCTCAGAGGTCAGTAATACCTGCTTTACAGGAATATACAAAAGGTAGCATAATCCCAAAATCTGCCTTTACAGGAAATTTAAGCCCCAATTAATAAAAGATTGTTTTCCCTAGATCTCAATAAAAAGAAATTGAAATGAAACACAGTGCTTCCAGAAATCTTCGTAATATCCCTGTAAATCAGGAAAAGCTTTCATCAAACAGCAAACACTTCTGTTGAACAGCTATAGAGATGGTGCACAAATGCAGATGAACAAATAATGCCATGAAGATTGCCTTCTAAATCCAGAATGCTTTTCCTAACCCACAGAAAAAGCACTCTTGCATAAAGCACAAGAATATTTTCACTGAGAAGCTTTTTAAAGCTGTTGTGATACATAAGGTGAAAGTGCATTTGTGTGCATTCATTGCATAGTAGTACATGTGCAGCAATTAAAATCAAAATGAAAGGCCTAGTACCAAATGAAGGTAACAAAGTTATGAATAAAACTTTGATGACATTGGACAAAACTGCAAATAGTCCTTTACATGCAACATAAAGGTAGCAAATGAAGAATGCATGGAGAGCAATGCATTTGGGAAGGCTCAAATTCAATGAACTTAAGACAAAAAATTGAATTCTGTTAATATTTGTGCCAATTTAATTCCAGGCTTACTCCACTAACTTAGTGTTACTCTGAATCTCTGGGAATATGGTTGAAATTAGCATCTGGCGCATTGTCATAAATTTCATTTCTATCTTTTCCTGAATTCCAGCAGACAGAAAAAAATGGCCTTTGGCCTTAATTATAGTTGTATTACAGAGACTTTTTCTGAAAGTCATATTTTTAATTTCTATTTAATCCCTCATTCTTTCTGAACTATAAACCTCTCATTCATAATGAAAATAAACAGCTATTTTATTGTCTTGTTTCTACTGCAGTTTTATATTCAAATGCCTCAGGATTTTGTCCTTTCCTGAAATCAAAGAACTTTTAAAAATATGTACAATTGAGTTAAATAAATTCTCTTATCATATTCTATGTTTAAAAGTTACTCTTCCAATGCAAGCACCCCACCTTCTAGATAAAGGACTTAGAAGTAGTACTATAGAAACAGGTACAGTCTTACAAACTTGAACAGCAGATTTCTGGTCAAATCTACTCAAACTCACACTAAAAAAACACTTTTTACAAGAGAAATAAACTGTACAGAGAGTTATTTACTCTAAACTGAAACCAGTAGGACCTCCCATAGGTTGGTTCAGATCCTAGGTAAGAATTAGAATCATATAATCATAGAATAGTTAGGGTTGGAAAGGACCTTAAGATCATCAAGTTCCAACCCTCCTGCCACGGGCAGGGACACTTCGCACTAAACCATGTCACCCAAGGCCTTGTCCAACTTGGCCTTGAACATTGCCTGGGATGGAGCATTCACAACCTCCCTGGGCAACCCATTCCAGTGCCTCACCACCCTAACAGTAAAGAACTTCCTCCTTATATCCAATCTAAACTTCCCCTGTTTAAGTTTTAACCCGTTACCCCTTGTCCTGTCACTATGGTCCCTAATGAAGAGTCCCTCCCCAGCATCCCTATAGGCCCCTTCAGATACTGGAAGGTTGCTGTGAGGTCTCTCTGGACTTGTTCCAACAGTTCCATGTTCTTTTTATGTTGAGGACACCAGAACTGCACACAATACTCCAAGTGAGGTCTCACGAGAGCAGAGTAGAGGGGAAGGATCACCTCCTTCGACCAGCTGGTCACGCTCCTTTTGATGCAGCCCAGGATACGGTTGGCTTTCTGAGCTGCAAGCGCACGCTGCCGGCTCACGTTCATTTTCTCATCGACCAGCAATTACAAGATAGTTAATGAAAATGATAAGTGGAAGATGAAATGTAAATGTGTGCCACAATGCACACACAGTCCTTTCATCTGGCTTTGTATTGCATTCCTTTTTACATGGATGCAGAATGAAAGAATACTGATGCTGTTTAAAGATGTTCATATTGCTGGGAAAAAAATAATATTCTATCCGATTATTAGAACACTCTTTATGCTTTGAAGAGAAACAACTAGGTTTTAAAGGCATCTTACTTTTCTGTCAGCTTCTTGGTATAAATTCCTGGGCTGGAGTGATGACTGGAAATGATTCTACATTGTTCAAGCAACCAAAGCTAAATAAATTGAGTCCTTCCACATAAAAGCATAACTACTGTAGAAAATGCTGATTTGCAGTCCAGAAACCAGTAGTGCACAACAATATGTAAGGGACAACTAACCTTCCACCACCACCATAAGAACCTTAGATTTTCATAGTTGCCTTCGGAAAGTGGAACTAATTCCAAAAGCTTCTATCTCCTTGTCACAGTCCCAAAATATTTTCCAAACTATTCATATGTTATTTTACAGAGCACGCAAATCTCATTTTAATTTAACAGCACTGTTGCAGCACTGGTTGGCTGTTTCGCCAAACTGTGTGCCAAGACTTAAATGACTTACCAAGGACATGTTAAGCAAGGTTTTGAAATGCTTTAGAAATCAGAGTAATCTAACAAAGCATGTAATACACCACTTGTCTGTGCTGGCTTGACATTGCTTTAAAGCAATTACTGAGGGGTCCCTGGAGTCCAACAGGAACAGCAACAGGGAAGAGTCATATTGCAGTCAGTCGGAATCCATTGCTTGAAGGTTCTGAAGGACTTCCAGCACAACTTCATAGCAGAATAAATACTCATCCTGGATGCAAAGACACCAATGTGAAACATCTGATTGCATTCAACATAAATTCTAAACAAAGAACAATGAACTGTTTGAAGTGTTGTTTGTAACACCAGCATCTCTGTAACATGGACACAAAAACTTAGATATTTAAGAGAATCTTTGTTCTTTTTGTTCCATCACTTGAAAAGTTCAGGAAAGTTTTCTTATTCAGTGCAGTACCTGTAAGCATGTGCTCAAGCCTCGTTTAGGTCAGTGAATGCTTAATTTTAATCACGCACTCAATCATTATCCTGAAGAAAAATATATCAAAGCATATGATAAAATATTTGCCTACAGAAGGAACACACCCTTGTCTTATTTTATTTCACACCACTTGTTTGCTCAAAATTGAGTTAGCCACATCTTATCTTTTCCTGTGTGAAAGCTCTTTTCAGGCATAGGTTTAATTCAGCAGTAGTAGGCTTTATTGAGGTGGTGATAACTCAGCAATACAAATAGTTCAGCTGAAGGCTGCAATTTTTCAGGGTAGAGTTTATGGTATCTCACTGGTTTTGTTGTTGATCCCTGCTTTTCTTTTCACTTAAAAAAAAAGTGGGGGAGTGGGGAGGGAATGGGGTTGAGACTGGGAGCTGTACTATATTGGTGCTTTGCTTTTATTTCCATTAGTTAGTAAGAAACAGACCTTTCATATTTAAATCTAGACACCACTTGCCTGGAAGGGTGTTATTTTCCTCAAATGAGGCAGCTAAATTTATGCTTTAAGCCCCAGATTTATCAAAGCATGGAGCTATGTACCACTAATTTAGACATTTAAAAATCATAATCTAGTTGAATATTGAAAACTTACCTTTGTTTGGATCATGCCAAATCGCTGATGTCTCAAGTCTCTCACTATCTGCTTGATGTTGAACTATCAGAAGAGAACAGGTTTTATTTTGTTGACATGCAAATTATAAAGAAAGATTTAAGCATGTTCAAATGGGGACTTAGTTCTGTTGCAAATAGTATATTTGCAGTTACTATCTTTGTTGCTTAAAACAATAAAAGCTGGTTTGTTCCATTTTGTCACATTGAATTCTAACAGGAATTATGCTGGTCTAAGATACTCCCACTGTGTTTCTGACATCCATACCAATTTGTAATACTTCATGACAATCTGTTTGATACTTACAGATAAATCTTTTTCTATATAGCTGAGCAGAACTTCAACAACCAGCAAAACTCCACTTCTTCCAATGCCAGTGCTACAGTGAGCAACAATAGGTCCTGTGCTGTGAGCTCTTCTCATGTAACAAATAAATTTTACAAGCTGCTCAGGCAGTTCGGAAGTATTTTGGTCTGGCCAAGTGATAAACTGCAAATGACTTATAATGCGCTTCTCTTCTGTCTGGAAGAGCAAGACCAAAAATGTTAAAAATGACCAGTTCTAAGACCAAATTTCAAGTAATTCCACTGATAATTTTTCTATTAGCTTCATTCTTAGTCAACTGTTAGTCTACTGAACAATTCCTCAGCTTTTCATACTTGAATCTATTAAGGTTTGGTTTAGGCTTTCAGAAATGTATTCAGAAGACACTGGCCTAGGACATTTACTTCATATAATTTTTATGACACACTGAAGTTACTCTGGATGTAGTTATCTTATCTGATTAGGAAGGAAAACCAAAAACATTTGTTAAATTAGAACATTCCAGTACTGTTTACTAAAATTAGTTTTGTAACTGAACTAAGCCATACTAATAGTAGTAATATGATAGACATGATAGTAAGATTGTAAATGCTATTCTGGCTATGGGATATAAAAGAACAATTTGTGATTAGATACCCTAACATACAAACCAAATCAAATAAAAAAATTATTACAAGAATAATCATTATGTAGATAAAATAAAGAGTATTATTAACAGAATGGTCCTGGGACAGTACTTCTTGTTGCCAGCTTGCCAAAACATGTTAAGCTGAATGCAAAAGAACTACCCGGATTTTTACGATCAGAAAAATGTGAATGCATTTTTGGATTTCTCCTGAAGTAAAACTGTGTCTTTCTGCAGTAATATGATATTGGTCCAATACAGACATAGCAAACTAAGGTAACCATTGAAACAGTTACATATAACAGCCTATCTTCCCATCTTAATCACCTTTTGGGGGAACTCATATCAAATGCTTTAGTATGCTTCACACTTAGTGACATAAAGTAAATTGGCTTTTCTTTATATAGATACTTTTTTTTTCTTGATGGAAAATGACCAATTTAGTCTGGAAGAAAAATGAAGCTTTTAATGATTTCATTAATCAATATGTCCTGCAGAAATTTTTGCAAAGTTAAGTAAAGCTTTGAGGCAAGCTATTGAGGCAAGATTGATGGACTTATAGTGGCCCCAGTTTCCATGTTCTTACACTTTGATTCTGTATCTGTAGTTTCTGTATTCACGTCTTTTAACATTAATATCATTAATTCTAAAATCTAAAAAAGCCACCTTCTTCCCCTTTCCTTCCAGCCAGTATTAGAGAATGTGAATCCACTCTGTCAGCCATTACTGATTTGACTTAATGAGAACAGTAAGCAATTCTGCAAAACACTGAATGCACCAGCTCTGTGACTATTAAAGGACTAACTTTTGCACATTCTTGTCTTACCTTAATTTCATGCCTGTTATTCAGATTTTTACATTCCTAAAAATTACTGAGCAAATGTTATGGAAGAAGCAAACAATAGTATTAGAATATACTTATGTAAAATACCTAATGAATTTCATCATTTATGAAAATATTAAGCCTACTCAACTTACCTGCTTGTTGATCATTTCTATTGTTCTAATTATGAAGTAGTCCAGGATCTGGTAATCGTCTAGCCTGAGATGGAAATTAGCCAGGTCTATAGAGTCATGGGGAGGTTCAGGCCAGTACCGGTGACATTTGATTTGCCCTAGCTCCACTTCTTTTGTCATCATGGCAATCACATCTGATTCACTCTCCCAGACCATTTGCCAGAAATCAGCCACAGTGGATGGCAAAGGCCCTTGGGTTGTAATATAGAAATGTTCATCTCCTCCAACTTTCATTCTAATATAACTTGCATTAATGTAGCCATTCTTTTCTCCCAGAGGAACTCGTGTCCTATCATCTGTACAGAAACAGAAAGTAGTTATTTCAGCTATAGATCTGAAACAGAATTCTACCATCTCTAGCAGTTGGGATGGTGAACCTCAGCCTCAAGCTGCAAAGTATGCCTCTGGATTTTCAAGTACATTTGACTAGTACCACTAGTATTAATCACCATTAACAGGAATTCCAACAAATAAATTGAACTGTTCACTTCAGCTTTATTTCTCTTAAGATACCTGTGTAACGCTCTGACAAGCCTTCTAATTACCATAGAATTGTATGGCAATAATTCAGAATAGTGTATCCAATATGGCTTTTAATATATGGGATGGGAATGTTGTCACTGGACATTGCTGTTTTGAAGCAGGAAACTCCTGAGAACGTTTGCTGTATCACCAATATAGAAAGGTGACTGTGCTACAAATTTTGCATGTGTTTTCCTGATGCTGCAGTTCAGAAAGACATCAAGGGTCCAGCAAGTGCTCCCCTTCTGTTGTGATACCTCTCAGGGAATCACTGGGTATTACAGGAATTTTTGGAAATCCTTGTTAACAGCAGTCATTCAGTTCTTCTACCGAAATCTTCTAAATGACTAAAATGACTTCACATCAGTGAGCAAACTTGTTTCTGACTTAGAACAGAGATGAGCAGCTAAAAGCTCTGGTTGTATGTTATGCTTCTAAACACTTCTGAAAACATCTTTATTTTTCCAAAAGATGCATAACTTCATGATTTCCACCAAGCTTTCCAGAATTCCATTGTGTCACAAACAGTAGATAATAGCTGTACATTCAAATAGATTTAAAGATCTGCTGTTATAGTTCAAGTTACACTTGCCCATAGAAATATAGACCAACATCTCTGAGAAAAATGGGAAGGAAACACTCAGATAGCTGCCCCCCTACCAGACAAAGTCCCACCTTGTGGAAGATGATACTTCAGAAAATTACATACTGTGCAATGCTGACACCCCTACAATGAACTCTACCTCCTTTGGAAAAATCTCAACATGTTTCATTGTTACCGTACCTCTCCGCGGCTAAGGATGTAGTGGGATTTGCATCTCCTTCGTATCAGTGTTGTAACCGCTTTTCTGTTTTCCAGTTAATTGAATGTATGTTCTCATTAGTGTGCATACTTACATGGAAGAATATCTCGGTATCTGTTTTTATCCCGGTTTTCTGGTGCTTTGCCAGTTCTGCAGTCATCTATTGGTTTCAAACATTCTAAAGCCTAGAACAAAGAGAAATGATCAATCCATGTTGTTCATATCCTTCATAGACAACCTTTACAGAGTTGGTGTGAGCAAACTGTACCACTATAAGTGACCCAACATCGGTAAAGACTTCTTACAGAAGAGAATCAGTACATCACCCTCTAAACTTCAAATTGCTTTGTACTTTCTTCAGTCTGCACAAGATTTCTGGGGTTTTCAAGTGAGATTTCCAACCCACATCCTCAACCCTTGTCATTACAAATCCCTGTTGTATACTGATGTGAAATGGATGTTTGGAATAGTGTCTTGGTCAAATGTCAGTATTCATAATTGATGACATACTAACTAAAGCACCAAGTATTGCTCTATTAACAAGTAGTGAATGTCAGTGAATACTTTCCAGTGACAGGGAAAGTGATGGATATAGAGAACAGCATCAATAGCGCAAAGTGCAAATAATATGATTGTTGAGTACTTCATAGCAGATTTAGGGGAACAGTGCAGTGTAGCTGGAAGCAGGAATGTAAAAGTTAATTTCATTTACAGTTTTGAGTTACCTTCACTTTTCTTTATTCTTTTACCTCTTTGGTATGCACTGCACAATGCTCAACCATCACATTATGGCACTATACAGTGTATATGGGCTGAAATACATGTGACATTTCTTTAATACATTCATCAGTTACTACAGCTTTTACTCAGATAAAATATCCACTGGCTTTGGTAACCAGATCTTTATGTTTTCTGTGCAGACGCGTGTCTCAGCTCATATGCTCTGCCTGCATCAGTAACAGAATGGAATGAATGGAAATCAATACATGTCCTTGAGTCTTTAGGGAAAGTCAGCAAATCCTATACTCTTCAGCCTGTGGGATTTTCTACCCAGAAAGTCAGAGATATAAAGGCAACTGAAAGGAACTGATAATGTTGTAATTGCTGTGGAAAAGTGGTAGCAATCTATTTCCCTGGTTTTGAGTACATCCTTTAAAGAAAATTCCAGTACTGTGCTGAAGAGTTATGAAATAATCTGTTCTTTAGGAATTTGCTGATAACTGAGTACTCTTTTTGTATCCTGAAACAAGAGATTCTATATGCTCCCCTAATTTTATATATTTTCATGCCATCAGATGTAATTATGTGTTTTCATCATCTGTGGAGGTACATTACTTTTTCTTTTTAATTTCATAAAGATCTGAACCTAAATAGCATCTTGTGGCAATGAGTTCCATGGTTCACTGGAGCATTGCGTGAAACATTCTGCTTTCAACTAAGTGTGTCAGGACTACTGAATCCCTAGCAACATGTATTTTTTGCTTTAGTTGCTTTGCAACTCCTAAAATAGTTCTTAGGGAGATGTTCGGCAGAGCTGAGGGGGTAATAGGAAGAAGTCAGTCTAGGAAAAAGCGATTAATACTCTAGTGTATTACTTATTTTTCATTCCATGTGGGTTGTATCTTTGGACAGGGAATAGTGTAAACCTGACCTGTGTGGAAAGAAAGATCCAAATACTGCATCATCACCCAAACAGTAGAGTAGAAACCCCATTCTGGCAGGAATAATTCTCTGAGAAAGTGGAGTCAGTAAAGATATACAAGCCAATCTCAGTATGCAGAAGGCTGCTAAAAGTTACACACTCAGATCTTAAAAAGGAATCACACTTTACCACAAACTCCTTTAACACCTCCTGAGTCTCAATCCGAAACTGAAGGCCTCGAATAAGACCTGTGATGCCAGTTGTTGGACCTATTCCAGCCAGTGATGGTTTAAAGTTAATTAAGTGAGTCAGTTCATCTCCAGAAGCAAAGGTTCTACCTAGATATCAACAAAGAAAAACAGAGGAGTTTTTAATTATCATTGTTCACAGTACAAATTCTTGGCTTTAAAAACTAGGGGACTGCAGTACATAAGTACATTTTGATGCTTATACTGTGGAAGTGAAATGTGAAAAAAATATTTTTGGCTTACTTATGTTCACAGCAGAAAGAAGAGTAAGTCAGCACCATGGATACAACCAGCACCACATTTCATATCATTTGGAAGCAGATCCAACTACTGCAACTTATTGCCTCATACAGTTTCTAAACACAGTCTGTTTAAATAAAGTGCTCTTGCAGAATTGTAAACTTTATCAACAGATTCTATTGGTACTGGAGACTCTCGCCACATCTTCACAAGGAATCATCCTCATCTATCCAACACTTCCCTGAAAATTAGAACTGCCACACCCCAGTGATAGGAATAATCACTGCAAATTCTTCCTCCCTGAAGTAAAATATCTTCTGTCCTTTTCATCTTACCTCACACTCCTCTTCAAGAAAAAGATGCAAAGCATCTTTGATGCAACAAAATCAGGATTCAGTTTTACAAATTTGCTCACCCTGAAGTATGTGTTCTGATATGAAACTTGACAGATTAAGACAATGGATAAATATTTATATCTCTAGAAATACCACTACTTTACTGTAGCAGTTGAAAAAAAAAATTTACCATGTAGAGGAAAACCAGTAGCTTGTTTGGTAAAAACTAGTTGTTTGAGGTAGAGAAATGATGGAATTTGTCCTTTTAGTCATAGACTACTGTTGGCAAAGGATAACATACCAGCTGTCTCAAAAAACCCTGTTGATCAGTTCCACAGGTTTGTGGTATGTTGAAGACAAGAAGCAATGCTCTCTTTTCCTCTTGTAAGATGTCATCTCTATTCTTAACCAATGTCCATAACAAAACTGTTGTGCTTTCTGTGCTTTTGTCTGGGCTACAACTTGCACCTGCCTTGCCTGAGCTTCTGAAACAATTTCTGTCCACTTTCTGTTTTCTAGCCATAAGAGATGCCAGGGTATTTCTATTAACTAATTGAGAGAGCCAGTGAAAACAGATCTGCCACACCAGACACAGCACACTATTTCCTATACACCTCTCTTTCCTTCCAGATCAAGTGGAATAGGAAAGCCAAAAATCTGAGCAGGTATGAGAGGAGAGATTGGTTATAATTTTCTATTTGCTAGCCAGCACAGTTTGGTAGTGTGAGGGAGATAACTGTGATTTACTTCTTTTAAGAGCCATGAGCAATTCATTGCTTCCACAGGGCAAGAAGAAGCAGGGAGAGACCTGTATTTCAGAGAATCTGTAAGATACTGATGTATGATTGCTTTCACAGATTTTTCTTGTTTGCAGCAGAAGCAGCTTAATTTCCTATAGGAACAACTAGGCAGATTCTTTCTGTAAACTGTCTTCTGGTTTCAGAACGGCTTTAGCACCTGAGCTGTGAAAGTGCTTCAGTATTTTAAGCACATCAGTTCTAGAGGTTTTAATTTCACTCATTATATGATGTGAAATTCAAAGCTATATGCTTTTATTTCATTCATTTAGAATTTACATTTTTAATTATGCACTGGGAAGCTCCCACAATTTTGTTTCTGGCCCAAATTGCACTGGTTTTGTTTTCTTTTTTTTGTTCAGCCACTGAGCCAATGTGTCATTTCTTTGCACGTCCAATAGTGCATGACTTGAACAAATGTTATGAAGTTGCTCAAATTAATGCAACAACTTTCTTTTCCTCTTTTTTGCTCAGTTTACAGCTCAGTTACACCTGATTGAGTCTAATCAAGGTATTCAGAGATTTTCCTTTGAGGAAGGACATGATATGGAGCATGGAAAAAAATCCTAACAAAAAAAAAAAAAAACACACATACACACACACACACAAAAAAAAATAAATTGCTCATCCTTTTGAAACTGGGGTGCCAGAGCAGAGGTGCTCTGAGCAGTGGTGAGCAGGTGATGGCCAGCACAGCTGCCCTCCCTGAGTTCAGCTAACTACATTCAGACTCGTGTTCCTTCCTTCCTGCTGTTCCCCAACAGAGTTGGAGAGGTCCTGATGTAGGCCTTCTTCTTGTGGATGTTTCAAAGGTTTGATGGCCTTCATATGTATCACAGTAAAAATTGTGTCCTGAGTGCTCTGGTCTTTGAGACACAAAGAGCAAATACTTAGCTTTTATATAAGTGATTAGTGTTCTGACTGTACGTATACAGAGGAGCTGGCCTAAAATGTTAAAGAAATAGAAATTTTTGCATGGTTACTTCTAGGTAGAACAGAAATCCTGTGGGGCATATCATTGTCTTCATCATTCCGGTTGTCTGCCACAGGCTGCTGAGTCTCTGTTCTGCAGCCTTCACATTTGGCATATTTCTGGGACCTGTAAAACAGCATCAGTTGAATGGTCTTACAGAAGCAGCAGAAACTTTTATAGTTTGGTGGTTTTCTTAACCTATTTTTTATCACTTTTAACTTTCTTAAGCAACTATTGTTAAGAATTAGCGGAAACTCCAAAGAGCATAAATCCAAGGAGTAATAGCATAGTCAGGAGTAGCGCTTGGAAGTAAGGTTTGTCACAGTTGCAGCCAATTTTTCATGTATGATATTTTTCAGTTGTTAGGCAGCCATAGCTATATAGGCTTTGCTTATTACTGTTGCCTAAAGTATTTAGAAAATTTTGGAGCCCTTAAATATGTTTTAGGTAGAAGATGTGCCTGCAATCCAGAATACAGCTATAATGTGTGCAGAATGGGTCAAATGTTCCTCTACTGGCTAACTCTGATACCCGCAGACCTAACATTTAACTATGTTATCAGGCTTAAGCATATCAGTCTTGCATCCTATCCTAGGTGTGATAATAATAACTAATGTTAGAAACAGTGGAAGGTACACTTAAGAGGGAGAATAAGATAATAAATAGCAGCTTTCTGAATATCAGTAACCATTGCAGCTGCGCATGTTCAAGTTACACAAAGCTTTTGCAAGTAGCAAACAGGAACACTGGAAAGTACTGGTAGTAAAACGATTCAGATTACATGACAGAGGCCAGAAAACCATCCTATTTGCAAAACAATCAGAAGAGATACTTGCTATCCTTATATGTGATAACTTTGTATTAGTCATAAATGGATTTGTGCATCTTGCCCACAGAGCAAGATAACTTAATCATACCTAATTGCCTGGTATATGACAAGGTAATGTTATATTAGCAATGAGATAATAGCAAGGGGCACTGAGCCTCTGTTCATATGGATGTTCTTACGTGCAGATGCTCTCAAACCATCTTGCAGCTCTGCAAGCAGGTGAGTTAGGGAAGATTTTCATCCGTAATTGGTTGGCCAAATACTGTTCTTACAAAATTTTAAGTTTTCTTACAAAATTTAAGTAAATATTTAGTCTTTTTTCCAATTTATGTGGGTTGTAAGTGATAAAGAAAATAGCCATATTTCGTCTATGCCATGTCATTTTGATAGACAAAACTGCCCATGTCTTATCAACACTCCATTATTCTTTGGTTTCCCATTGTACTGTGTATTTAAAATTTGAAGTTCTTCTCTTCCTGTAGTATGTACTTTCTTTGGAGTAACATTCTCAAATTCTCCTGACTCTCAGATGTCTGGAGCTCAAAATCTGGATTGCTACAGCGAAACAGGACAAGGTCCAGCCCAGGCTGCAAGTGCTGCTTGGAACACTTAGAACCCACAGGTGCCCTCCCCACAGCAACATGATAGCGGTACCACTGTTCTCTCTTCTCAGGTAGAAAAGCTAAAGCTAGCTTAGGCATGTCTGCATGAGCTGTTAGAGCTAGAAACTTTGTTTCATTTGTCTTAATAGCTGTGGGGAAGCTGTTTAGCATTTCTTACTGCAGATGGAGCTGTATTCCAATAGAACTGTATTTCTGTCATTTAGGACACATGGGTGCATTTGCACTCCGTATTAGGACAGTTCTGGAAATAAAAGATTAATTAGCCCTACTATTTATTTTGATAGTTTTAATTCATTTGAAAGACTTACCTGTCTGAAATGTTACTGATTATATCCTTACAGTCTCGTCCAGCCAGCTGACCTTGCAGAAGGGAACTGTGTATGCTATCTAAATCCTACAGGTTTAAAATATGAAAAAGCTGTTAAAAATCAGTACATAGAAACATAAAGCATGTGGTTACTTTCATTGACATTGCTTCTTATATCTGTAAAAATGTGTCCTTCAATCAGGAATGGAAGGGAAAACAGAATAGTTTCCACTTTCAGAAGAAAGTATGCAACTTTGATTCAGCATTGTAGTATCTACCGGTAGTAAGAAGCCACTAGGTGTAAAAAGTATTTGTGAGTTTCATAACAATACAGTCTTCAGAATCCCCACAACTCAGAATTAATGACTAAACTTTGAAAGGTTTCATGATGATCTTAAGGTCCTTTCCAACCCTAACTATTCTATGATTCTACGATTCTATGTTAGTCATATCCTCCCCAATCTCATAAAGAAAATGCAATCACAGTAATCATGAGTCACACTATTCTTCACCTCCTTAGCTCTTAGTGGGAGAAAGCACCACTGTCTAAGATGGAATCGTTGGTAATAATTTCCTTTTTCTATCTCAGACACAATGATGCCAGCTGGTAGAAGCTGGGTGCAGCTGCTCTACTGAAGAAGCACTCAACTGACAGAGAAGGCAGACCCTTGATCACCCTCCATATGCAGGAGAAGTGATAATATTGGTGGGTGGTTTTGCATTCTAGAGAATTATAACTGGATTCTGCATTTAAATAATGATTCAGGACATCTGCATCTGCATCATCTTTGTGGAAGTGGCTCCTTCTGAGTTGAAACACTTGATAGATAATTATTTAAATTCTAGTTCAGAGTGGTGTTTCTTTTTCTTTCCCTCCTTAATATTCCAGATGTATTCAGAGTACTGTGACATGTTACACAGTATAAACTACTGAATGCCCCACAGAATCTTAATGGTAGCTTCCACTTACACCTTATTTTCTTACTTTTGTGCTTGTACTTTCCCATAGAACAGGGAAATTTGTGGCTGCCTGTTTAGTAATGAATTCATTTACCCAGTTGCTGCACCTACTAACTGCATTGATTGGAGAATGCTGTATAGGTTTTTGTTTTCTATTTGCTAAGGAAAGGTATCTTACTGCTGCTTTTTTTGCATATGTGATTTTTTTTCCACTGGGTTGTCATTTTCAGAGTCTACATCTTTAGATGGCAGCTGTGCTCTATCAAGTAAAGCATAAATAGTTTCTATTCACAGGAAACAGCTAAATGCAAACTTGAAATAATGAACACTTAATGAAACTAATTCAGCACAAAATTTTAGCATGTGCTTTAAGTTAAGCATGTGCTGCGCTTAACTAGATAGACTTTACTACATGCTCAAAACTACATTTGTGCATTAACACTTTGCTAACTTGGGGATCTAATAAGGAAACCTTAGTACTATCTCCTATTTTTCATTTCATTTTTTATTTCTTGGGTGTACTTCTTTGTCAAAATATAGGCATGACCTTGTTTTGATATTACATTTCATCACTGTCTAACAGTTTAGTTCAATACCCATTCCAACAGAGTACTTAAAACTTCCTCAAACAAATTCCTCTTCAAGGCTTTCTCATCTTATTCACATCAAGGATTTATTCAATTTTTCTTTTCTAGTTTGATTATATTGGTTGAGAGGTTTTATTTGTTGTGGATGATAAAAAGACCTATATTTCTCACATCTCCTGAGTAGAGGTTTTACAACTGTAAACTTAGAAATAATAGATGCTGTAAAATTTGATGTGGAATTATACTAATTGCATGCTCTTATCTCACTGGAACCCCCTGACTCATTCAAATGTTAGCAGTTCCCCTCATTGGTAGCACACTTCCCTCACCTTAATTGTTTTTTGTTAAGAAGGTGTGGTTCTTGCCTGCACTGAAGCAAACCCATTTTGTAAACAAACCTGAGTACATTGCCTGATAACTTCTAGAAGACTGATTCAGATTTTACCTTGGTACACATCTGGTGCGATTCTCCTTCCTTGAAAGTGAGAACAGGATGAGCTTGCAGGCTTCCCTCTGCACTATCTGAACACCAGAAAACAAAATCAAAACAACACCCCTATGAAGCATGAAAATATGGAGTCATTTCTTCTGTGCCACGCACACCAGAGGACTTCAATCTTGGAAGAAGCACTGAGATACAGTGCCAGAAACTGGGCATGGAATATCCCTTTCGTGGATGTTCTGAGGGTTAATACAACACAAATATTATATAACACCACTGAAGAAGTCAGCATAATTCAGGTTGCCAGAAGATACACTGAAGAGACCCCTGTATCAACAGCAGTTATAAAAAATCTGAAACAGAATTTAATTCTGCCCTCTCTAATCCAGCCCATTCCTGAGGCCCAAATACCATAGATGAACTTTAATGCCAGTGCTTCTATAATACCACTGGGTTTTGCTGGTCCAGTTTAAACTTTCCAGCAACTGTGTAATTCACCAGTGTCATGTGAGATGCAAATAAATGTGCCCACAACTAATTCCTTGAATTTGCAAGGCTGGAGAAAAGGCTAGTCTTACTGAAGTGAATGGAAATAATTCCACAGACCTTAATAGAGAAGAGCTTCAATCAGCCTTTTTATAATTGGCTATCCTTACATTTTTTATTTATTTTATCATTACCCCCCAGATTTAAACTAGAATAGAGATGGGCCAGTGAACATCCTCCTTTGAAGCTGGTGCTGACGATAGTGTTTACATCCTTGTCGTGGTTTAACCCCAGCCAGACAGCTTGTTCACCCACTCCCTCCCCTTCTTGCCCTCCCCCAGGACAATCCTTAGGGAAAAGCTTTGTTCTTGAAACTCAGAGGCAGCTTCCAGTAAGTGCAGGAGTATCCAGTGCTTAAGACACTGGCTAGAAGTTCAAGATGATTAGGTTCAGTCTAATAGATACTGAAAACACTGAGATCTTTGAACCCTACAGGGCAGCTGCTGTCTAACAGCAGAATTGCCTAAAACACCTCTACAGCCAAGTTCGCATCAGTAAAGCTGACTATATGCATATATGTTTGCTCTAAAATATGTCAAAACCCCACAGTCAGCTCAGCATCTCTTCCTCATCAGCTGAGGAGAAAGTAAATAGCAATGATACTAGCTTCTTGCCTACAGAGATTTGAAACAAAGCCTCCAATTTGTAACTGATGAGCTAGAAGGTATATTAAGAAGGAATTATATATTTTTCCCACTGAATTTTCTCCTCAGTATTCAAGGAAATAGGTGGTTGAGGTATATAAACCCATAATCTATTGTTAATAGTATATCCTTCCTTCCACCCAGAGCTTTAATTTGTATTTTGAGTTTGAATATTCATTAGAGCAGAGCCTGCAGCACAAGTTTTTTTCTATTAGAGTTAGTCAGCTCTGCGAGTTTTGCCCTGTGCAGGTTGATGTGCTCTCGAATTCATAGCAATCAATCAGGGAGCAGAGGCTTCTGGATTTGCACACACACAGAAAGGAGAGGAGCTGTCTGTCAGGTAGAACTGGTGCTTCCTAGAGATAAGGTAAGAGTGTTGGGGTGTGAAATTTATGGGAAATGTGTTTTAGCGGCTGGGTCAATAACTGCCTGTGATTCTATCAGTGGGTTGTATAAAACCAGGTAAAATCAGACCAGGAGCCTCCATGACTTAAAAATAAAAGCTTAGTTAAAGGTTCTGTGAGGCTCTTGCAGCTTTGCTTCCACTATTTCTAGACTTAAAACTGATGCTTGGGCATTCCTTCCCTATGGTCCTATGTCTTGAGTAGCTTATCCAGAGCTGCAGATAAGGATGAAGAATGTGTTTATATATGCAGTTATGAGTCAGGACTAACTGTAAAGTTAGTACTGTTGAACCCAGGCAAACACATAATCTCACTTTACTGTCTACTGAGTGGATGTAGCTGCTTACCATGCTCTGCTTTTGTGTTTGGAGGGAAAGGTATACTCTTGCTTTGATTGCCTGTGTAAGCCCAATGCAAAGCCATCCTTCGGCACACAGTGAGTTGAACAGTGCCTTGAGCTTTGCGCAGCAAATCCGTAACTGTTTGGCGTGGCAGGCCAGACACAAAAGTCTCATTCACCTGAAAAAATACAATGATATATACTTCCAGATTCCTGTAACAAATTGTTTTTTAACCACATATCCCAGCATTGAGCATTTTGCACTTCATATGTCCTCATCCCCTCCCATTTTAGTAACTTGCTTGTTCCTCTCCTGTCTACTTCTTTATACCATGATTGCCAGCAGTACAGCACAAAAGTGTAGTTTGCACCTCTTCTGAAACACTAGGAGGGCATTGTTCCCCCCATAATTCAGATGGAAGATGAAGGAGATATGGAAGTAAATGAAAAACAGGAAAGCAAACAGAAGTACTGAAACTCCTGGAGGGGAAGAAAAAATAATTTGGGGTAAAAATAAAACCCAAACACCCCCCAAAAAGCCAAAACATGATTTATGTTAACAGATGGTTAAATAGTAAGATTTTAATTAAAGATTCAAAAGCTCTAATTCCAGTGCTTTTTGCTTGTCTTGGTAATACCTGACTGGCACTGATGATAGATTCCTCTCAGTATCCTCTTGGTTAGCATGCTTGGTATGCATGCTTGGTCAGTTAACTCTTCCTTCCCTGATTTTTTTCATGTGTAACCATGTGTAATTCTCACTGTGCACAGTTACACTACAGAGTGATTGCACTTTGTCACTTGCCCTGCTATTCTGGGTTTGCTTCTCTGCTGGATTAGCCAACAGCCACCTCCAGCTGTAGAGAGGCCCAGTCCCAAAGGAAGCTGAATGTTAGGCAAGGGATGGAGGGTAGGGAGGCAGAACAGCCGTCTGACCCTCAGGAGCTGAGAGACACCATCTTCTACATATTACTGTGCCAAGCAGCACCAGATTTCCAACCTGTGCAGCCTTTATACTGAACAGAATGCTAATGATAGAATATCTAGAGAAATTGTAGGCCAAAACAATGAAGAATAAGCAGTACCTTGAGTAGGATGTCACCAACTTGAAGCCTTCCATCTATGTCTGCAATGCTGTCTGGGCTGATGGCTTTTATTAGGATAGCCCTGCCATTTCTTCCACCTACGAGTGCAAATCCTAGGCTTCCATTTTCTGCTTTTTCCAGCTCAACCTTAATAATGAAGTCCTACAATAGACAAGGGTGTAGTCTTAAGTGGAGTTCAGTTAAGGCTGTGCTTTTTTTGCTTTTTTAATAATAAATAATCCCATTATGCTTCACAGTCCTCACTCACTGATGTAGATTATGGGATATATCCTTCTCCTGAATAGGTATACAGAGCTTCCATATATTAAAATAGGAGCTGTATATATGTATCAGAACGAAAATAGTACATACTTATTTCCATAATCGCTTTCAATAATTGCTGGAGGGGAAAATAGCCTCTTAATAGCAAGGAAATACTTACTTTTGTAATCCTTTTATAACATTTCAAATACACCACCTTCACTGACATCGAGTCACTCTTCTCTCCAGCATGAAGGTAATGCAGTACATCCTCCATTATTTTATTATTCTATAATGAAAAACTTGCAACCCCAACATACCCATCTGTTTGGCTATAGCATTTCATTCAGTTTTAAAATAAGCTGCTTTCTTAGGGTCAAATATTATATCAGAAATAGCAGCAACCTAGAAATACTTATGACTTGCAGCATGACTTTTCCAATCTTGCAAATGTCACCATCAGAAATTATTTTAGCATGTTGAACAGATAAACCATCATGGATTAAATGGTGCAGAAGAAGCAGTAATAGTGATGACTTAATCAAAAGTGAGAAAATAGTTTCCATTCTTCTGCCAGGTTGGAGGTCTAATTTTAACAAGAGAGCAGCCTTTTGCAAACCACAATCAAGAGAAAACTAGTAAATCAATTCCCATGAAATATCAGTCCCAATGTGGGCAATTTCACTTCCAAGTAATGTTATTTTCCACATTTTTGCACAAACAGAAGTGGCGCTTGCACTTGTAAGAATTTTGAAGCATTGTGTGTTGAGCATGGGAATTCTTTTTTTGAAGAGCACACATGTATTTTAAGAAGTCATCATTTCAAAAATTGCATTAATTTTGATAAATTCAAACCGTTAGGGCTTATGTCAATACTGCAGAATACGCCAAAGGTTTTGAGTACTTCTACAGTCTTTTCAAATGCCCCCATCTGAGAATTTCAGAATGAAATATATTAACTCAGATTTCAAAAATTGTTGTGGAAAATATTTTACAATTACAGTTGCACTTATTTGCCCTAGATTCCACAATATCATACACTGAAAAACAGTAATAGGAGAGCCTAACTCGGGGAGTGTTCAAGGCAATCTAGTCCATGAAGACTGAAGGAATTCAATACTTCACAGGACACTCTCCAAATGCATTATATTCACATTTTCAAAGGAACTGGAGAGGAATCAAATACTGTTGAAGTATCACTGTTGAAAAAAAATCTCACTCCATATAGCTCACTTCACTCGACGGATCATGTCACACTTGATAAACTTGTCACTTACCTTACATTCTGGAGAATCAGGAGTGTCTTGCTCAGCATCACAGTTTGTTTCCTCCAAATGTTTCTCTGTGAAAAAGCAGTGGCAGCAATGTTTGCTCAGTTGTACTGGTAAAACGTTCTACAGTATAACTCTCAAAATCATATTCAGAGGCATAATAAAACATTTTCTACTTGACATGTAAAATACAAAAAAAATAAATTTGAGGATTTATGTGGGCTTACATTCCTGAACTGCGAACTTAACTTTCTATGCATTATCCTGTAGACTTTTTATGTCCCAGTCAGCAGGTTCCAAAACAAGCTTTAAAAGCTGCATACTATAGGGTCAGATACTCTAGATGGATGACAGGTAATGTATAAATGTTCTCCGAAACTCTGAGGGAGGTAGTTTTGTTTATGAAGAATTAATCTTTCCCAGGTGTGGCCAGTACCACCTGCAGACTTATTTTCTTTCAAAGAAAAGGCACACAATTTTACAAACCCTAATTGAAAAATACTGAGTTCCTTACCATGTTGATGCAGCAGATGCTGTTCTTGGGAATTCAGGTTTTCATTTGAGAAAGAAATACTGGCTTTCTCTGTCTCAACAGGTGGCCCTAAAAGCATACATGTAGGTTTGTTCTGACAGGCCTCCTGCTAACCTTCATATACACAGTGGAATGAAAACTCTTTGCTTAGCTTATTAAACAAAGAATCAATATCCAGTACTGACACTACATGAGGCAGTTTGAGACACTTACTACTGCGTTATTAAGTTTGCCAGTTTGCACAGTAATATAAACAATTCTGTCATGAATTGCAGAGCTGTTGCATCTCAGTCATTGCTATTTTTAAAATTGCAACAACAATCAGAGATCAGACTGAGTCATTCAAGACATGTGGCAATGATCAGGCAGAGGAAGAAGCAGGGCGTTTTAGTGTTTGAACAGACGGATATGTAAGAAAACAATGTGCATTTCTTGACACTTCCACCTCTAACCACTCACCGCCAGTTTTGGGATTTTGCGTTATCATCTTGGTGATCCTCGTTGTTTTCCAAAAAGTATTCTTCATTGTATGAATTATAGAAAATGTAGCAACAGGACAAGGGGTAACGGGTTTCAACTTAAACAGGGAAAGTTCAGATTAGATATAAGGAAGAAGGAATCAATACTGGTGGCCTTGTAACAGCCTTCCAGTGTCTGAAGGGGGCCTACAAGGATGCCACAGGGAGGCTGTTTATCAGGGAATGTAGCTATAGGACAAGGGGTAATGGGTCTCACCTTACACAGGGGAACTTCAGGTTAGATATAAGGAAGAAGCCCTTTACTGGGAGGGTGGTGAGGCACTGGAATGGGTTGCCCAAGGAAGTGGTGAATGCCCCATCCCTGGCAGTGTTCAAGGCCAGGTTGAACAGAGCCTTCAGCAACATGGTCTAGGTTGAGGCATCCCTGACCATGGCAGGGGGTTGGAACTAGATGATCTTAAGGTCCTTTCCAACCCTAACTATTCTGTGATTCTATAAATTTTCTGCTGGTTTTAAAGGAAAAAAAGAGCTCCCTGTTGCATTTGCAGTTTTAGTATGCATTTTTGTGACAGTCTATCAAATGAAGAGTTGTTTCCTTAATTGCAAATAGTTATGGATTTTCTATAAATCTATCAAAGATGATAGCAACAGAACACCAAATACCAAATTACTATATATTTAAGTGCCTTAAAAAAGTGAAGAACCTTGTTTTATAAGAGAGGTGGGTAACTGTACTACTGTAGAGTTCATAAATCTGTACCAGAGATGGATCAGATCTGGTAACCTATTTTGCAGGTGTATTGAGAAATCTCGGAATTTGCAAAGCTCATGGAGCAAGGATGTGTAAGCAAGGTCCTAACAGAATATGCTTTTACCATGTTTTAGTTATATCACAGGAACTGAGAGCACATGTAACTTTAGTTGTAGAAAATTCAAAGAAGTTTGTTCTTCAGTAAATTAAATAAACTGCTTCAGATTATAAAAACAAATACATGACTAGTTATTTTAGGGTAGGAAACCTGTAACTAGCTTGACTTGGAATAGTTTCTTCAGATAGTCAGATGCTAGTATTAAGATGAGTGAAGGCATATGAGTAATTCTGTTCTAGGGGTACTTTTTCAGGTCATCTTTGAAAAAAAAAGAAGTTATTAAAAAAAAATCAGATATTGAGTCAGCTAAATGAAACTGAAGGTCAGGCCTGACTTAAAACTGCAGCCAAATGTACACTGGAAAGTATGACTTGCATTGGTAAGGCACTTTCTGTGCAGTAATGTAAATGTGATACCTATCCTTCCATCTGATGGTGCAGATGCAACCTCTGCTTACTGGGTTTCCTTCTACTGCTGCAGCAATTCTGGTCACGTCTTTGCAGTGCAGATGATTACTGTAGTTTTGTGTTAGTTACAGTATTAAATATACTCTCGGAATGCTGTTATATTAACTAAGGGATATTGGTGCTGCCTGTTTCTGATTTTCTATAGATTTACTGATAGCAGTTTAAAAAGTTGGTCTAGATGATGAAGTAGTGGCTCATATTAAAAACTTTCAATCAAAACAGATGTTGAAATATGACCACTTAAAATTCCCTTTTAATATCAATTTAAAAAATAGAAACTATGCAAAATACAATAAATACATTTTTACAGAGAACTATACATTTAATTCCTATCTTTAAGGACCCACCAAATTTTCTTCAGACTCTTAGAATCGCTGTAACTGAATGCCAGGTTACAATCTCTTAATAACATTTTAAAGGCAATGAATCAATACCTTATGTTTATTTCCAAAATCAGAAGCAAGTTTTGAACTAAAAAAAAAATAATAACAATATTAGCCTTACTTACTATTCTCCTGCTCTATAGGAACCACTGGATTGCCATTTCTGGGGGCAGAAAAAGTGAAATATGTGAGCCATTAAGAGCTGCATGCTTTGTAAAGCACATATGAAAAATCGTTTTTGAAAGTCAGTTGTCTGAATTGTGATTGTACTTCTATGATTTTGTTAAGGGTGTTTTCCCAAAGAGTATTTATATGAGTATATAAACTATTTGTATGTATTTAACAACAGTGAAACATTTTTATTTAATTTATTTATTTCCCTGGGTTGGGGAAATAAAGAAGATGTTGAGCCATCTGTCCCATTACAGAACTGCTTTGTGGTATATTTTGAATTCAGTTTTGGTTCCTCCTATATAAAGTTGGAATGATCTTTTGTGAAAATGTTTAACTTTTGTAAGTAACTCAGAGTTTTCCATCAGAGGTAGTTTCTTGCCTGTAGTTGTGAATCCAAGATTGTATGCAGAAGGTTGGCACTAGTGAAGTGGACTTCCCATAGAGAACAGGATACCTGAAAACGATGGCCAGCCTCATGGCTAAAGGTGCACATTTGTATTTGGGTGACAGTTTGGATACCTCATTTGTATTGTATGAGTGTACTTGTACTCATTGTGTTAGCTGTAACTACAAGGAGTGAAGATATCTTATGCATGTTATTTATCAAGTGGCAATGTTTAGACCTTTGAGTTAAAGCATTTTTTTTGTAGTTTGTCTTGGTTTTATTGTTTGACTTGTTTATGTAAAATTGAAGAACTTGCTTCAACATTAGGAGGAAGGTTGAGTATGCTCAGATTTACCTTGTGGCTTTGATTTGGACATGCTGGGTGGCAGCTTCACACACTCTCACTGCATCATCCAGGCTAATGCCCTCAGTCCACAGTCCACAGATGTAAACAATCTGATCTCGTGGCTGCAAACTGCCTTCCACACTGGCGGGAGAGCCAGGCACTATTTCTAGCACATAAATACCTTGTAACTTGCTTCCAACCCCTCCTGTCAGCTTCAAGCCTAGAATAATGCAGAGAAAGCATCTTTTGCAGCAGCGTGTTTTCAATTTCACTATCAGTGACATACAGCCTAATGGAATAGATGTGGGTCATTGAAAGATAGGCTGAACAAATCACTGACATTATAAATAACAGTCCCCCCAGTGAGATGGGGAATAAGAGCTGGACAGGGAGATTGAAATGCAATTAGATGATAAAAAAAGTAGGGAAAAAACTTAATGGTATTGTCTACACTTCGGCTATCAATAGTGCTTTATTTCACCTGATGTTGAATAGTCATTTGAGTAAGCCACTCAGCTGCATAGCAGTAACTCCCTCATTACCAGAGTGCTTAAGTGCCCTGCAATCTTTAGAATGCCATAGACAATGGAGGCATAAAACAAATGAGGAGATACCTATACAGTGAAAAATTGAATTGTGCAAGAATATCCAAGAAAACTCCGAAGAAGCTAGTTTTGAATTTGAAATTGCATGCTATACCTGAGCAAATATAGTTATACTGTTTCCTGAGTCTACAGTTGTATCTGTGTACAGTACTCACCACATTCTGCAGAAATACCAAGATACAGTGTGGGGATTTCTTTTATCGCTTGTTTTGCACAATGTAGATCAAACTTTGTTTTTATAGTTAATCAAGGATTTGAGTGGAGACTTTTTGATAGCAAACTAATTTTTTTTCTTTCCCTCCAAAAAGATATTTATGTATCTCAGCAGGTAGTAGACATTATTATGTACAACATTATTATCTACAACCAACAGCTTCTGTATATCAGTAATATAAAAATATGAAACTAGAGATCTGCAAGAAATATTAGCTGATAGGGTCATAATATAAAGACCATTTATCCAGCTGTCTTCCCTAGTCTAATTAGATATATTGGTCTTCCCTTTAAGGCCTTACCCAAAATAAAGCTGTTCATCATCATGGGTGATGGCAAAGAGCATAAAGGTGTCACAGTCACTCAAGATCATACTGATCTAAGACCACAGTTGGCTACGATTACCTTATGATTGCTATAATCCCTGTCCAAAATAGCAAGCATATATTTATTACACACCTAGCTGTCCATTGGCACCTTTGGTGAGAGTAATTTCAGGAATCTCATCTGGCCTAATAGAGGGACGTGGATCACTGTGAGCACGACCAACCACAAGGTGCAGATCAGGAGGGGAGCTTTGCAGTAAAGTCAGGGCTTGATTGCATGGTAAAGATGTGACATCAATTCCATTCACCTAAATGACAAACCAGTAAAATGATGTCATAGATCTCATTGACCATCATGTACTCATTCCTCCACTCTGAATTTTGCATATGAACTTAAATTAGTTTCACTTTCAGGTTACTGCTTTGGTGTGGTATTTCATGTCAGTGAATGCAACAGTTAAGATTGCAGTAAGATTTCTTTTTTTGGGCTTTTGTTTTTCTAAATGGAGAGCTCTCATAAAAATAGTTCTTTTTTTTTCCTTGAAATTCAAGGTCTTGTAGAAAATAGCCAAGACATTCTAATGCGAAAAACTGAAGATGAGCCAAACTGAAAACAGTCTTTATTCATAACTCCTGTATCCTTTGTATACAGTCTATCTTACGACATTAATTCAGTTTATTGGGAAAGCATTTAATATCTCAGTTGTCTTGCATTACTGTTAGATGATTCAAATTATTTGCCTGGTCATACAATCTATTCAGTGTGAAATGTGTCCTGCTGAAGTCAACAGAATTACATTTATTATATGATTCATTTGCACTTGCATGCCTAAGTATGTGTTAAACTGGACCCTATGAAAGGAAGAATCCTCAAGCTAAATGGCATTGATCTGCAAATATTTTCTCCTCTGTATAAACTCAAAGTCAATTACTGTACCATAATGATTCTGTCTCCCCTTCTTAATCTTCCATCAGACAGGGCAGGATCATTCAAGATTTCATCAACATAGAGGCAAGAGTCCACTTTGTTAAGAACTACAGAGAATCCATAACCGTTGTTCTCTGACTTTATCAAAGTCACAAAGATCTCCATTTCCTATTAAAATAAGTACAAGATATGTCTGATGTAGGCTTTTCTGTTGCTTCATTAACATCTTCCATTATATGCAATGTTTTATATGCAGATAGTAATCAGATCCTCAGATGATATGAATAAGATCATACATAAAGGCTTCTCTGATCTGTCACTGCTTTACTCCAGAATTCATTTTACTTCTTTTTACCTAGTGGAGCTTCATGGTGATTGACCAATAGGGCCTAATAAGGCAGAAAATACCATCAGGGACTGGAATTTTGGTATTTGGAATGTGTAAAGTAAGGCATGGAATAGTCTGAGCTGGCAAGCATTAGAGTACTAGGGTGCAGAGATTATTATTGTTATTAATGCTGCTATTGCTGTCACACTGAAGGAAATGGCTGGAAATAAATTTCGGCCTTGGTGCTCTCAAATTAGTATCAATTCAGAGCTAAATTAGTGTCAGCAAGAATGCAAGATGTTCAGCATATGGCAAGACTAAGCCTTAGATTTTGTATAGTAATTAGCAGAAGGAATGCACTTTCTTATCAGGACATTACAGTAGTATCACTGTTACAAAGAGATTTTTCACATGGGTTTAAAACATGACAGAAAGAAACCTATGTAGCTGAGTCCAATTAATTTTAGTAGCCATAGCTACTAGAGGACTGTTAGGCCTTTGTAAACTGGGAATAATACTGCGGAATTCTGGAAAGCTGCAGAAATAATAAGATTGCGAGAGCAAGGACATGGCCTTTAAGGCAATTGGTAAAGAATTCTGGACAGCTGGGTGTTGCAGAAGGTCTGCTTTACTTGAGAATTCCAGACACTAAGGAAAGTAAAAAAAGCCATGCAGAAATAGCATAGATAATGAGTTGAAATTAATGTTTAAGAATGTTGCATTCTTAAAGTTGTTTCTTTTCCCATGTATTCTACCTATTAATAGTTTGGTGCCTATCACATACCTTAGTGCAATATTCCTTTTCTTTCTTCTCTTCTTCTAGTTCCTCCAAGTCTTCCCATTCATTGTCACTGTCATGTGTCTCTCTAGCTGGCATGGATGATGAGAAGGGACCATAGACACGTGGTTGTGGGGTCACCATAGTTGTGGAGAGTGTCTCAGAGCTTCCTCCATGTGAAAGTGAGGTCACAGATGTTGAGCTGATAATGAGATACTCTTAATCAATAAGGGTTAGAGAGAGAGTTTCAGGCATACATTTCGTGTTCAACAGGTCATCATCACTCTTATTAAATATGTGGCTGGAAAATAAAAAGATTGCAGTGCTGGGGGTTTCCTCTATATGCTTTATTAGATGGCCACTGAGAAGTGTACTACTTATACATGACCTTATTTTAACTGAAGTACTAGTTATGATATCAAATTGCTGTGTGGGTCTTCCAGTGTTACTATAAAAATAAGTAATCAACAGTGGTGACCTCATAGCAGCCTTCCAGTATCTGAAAGGGGCCTACAAGGATGCTGGAGAGGGACATCAAGTACTGTAGTGATAGGACAAGGGGTAATGGGATTCAACTTAAGCAGGGGAAGTTCAGGTTAGATATAAGGAAGAAGTTCTTTATTGTGAGGGTGGTGAGACACTGGAATGGGTTGCCCAAAGAAGTGGTAAATGCTCCATCCCTGTCAGTGTCCAAGGCCAGGTTGGACAGAGCCTTGGGCAATATGGTCTAGGGTGAGGCGTTGCTGCCCATGGCAGGGGGATTGGAACTACATGATCTTAAGGTCCTTTCCAACCCTAACTATTCTATTATTCTATGATTCTACAATATTTTGCAAAGCTAATTGAAATATTAAAAGCATTCAGAATTTGAAAAGAGTCTGCAAAATCTTGCACTTTTTTTTAAGACATTAATTAGTACTTTAGTTGTTTCTTGAAAAGAATAATCAGTTCCTAGGCCACTGCCATAAACAACTTAATTAACTTACCTGGTCAGTGTTATGTACATTACAATACTACTACAATCTTTATATTTTGCATTTTTGTTGAAAGAGGAATACCAGCCACATTCCTGGCTCCTACAGGTCTTTCCTTGGCAACTAGAGCACAGACCAGAAACATGAAATACGATTCTTGTCTCTCCATAAAAAAAATTCAAGTCCTGACTTCTGTTTGTAAGCTTGCTTTTATTCTTATGCTTGCCTTGAAGATATGGCCTACAGAAATCAATGGATTTTTCAATTACTTGAATTAAAATTGCTATTGATTTTATTTCACAACAGTGGAGATAGTGGAGATAGTGTTCAGCACTTTGGATATTCAAGCCCAGACTATAATCGCATATGTTGTGTTTAATATTGTTTTGGCTGTTAGCATTAATGAACTTTAATAGAGTTCATTACTATAGCATTGACTCCCATTAAATTTCACATTAAACCCAATAGAAATGCTTCAAACACAATTTTTAAAGTATGTATTTTCTTCATATCCGTCTTTATTGAAATATTGTCAAACCTCATTCATCTTAATGAAGAAAACACTTAAAAAGACACAACTTTTATTAATGCTTTACATAGCAAAAGTGCCATGTCATTTCATACATGTCACCTAGGAACTTCCACCCTGATAGAACTTAAGTGTGTCTACCATCTCCAAAGCAAACATAGACAATTAAATGCATATTGTGTGTCTTGCATGAAATCACAGAAGATCCCCAGTGTTGAGCTGTTCTTTCAAAAGTTGTTTATGATCAGAAGGATAATACAAAGCACACTAGCAAAACAAGCATTTTAGTTGAATATAGCTAGTAGCTCTCAATAGTATTTTGAAATACTGATGAAAATTAGAAAAGCTTGTAGGCTCATGCTGTGTGCCCTCAGTGACACAACCAATCTAGCCTGTTAGCTTATATCTTTGCAGGGAGGAATTGAGAGAAGTTGACTATCTCGAGTACCATAGCAAAGCTGAGAATGAAGCTGACAGTTTGGGCTGTAATAGCTGGACAACAGATACTTACAGTACCATAGAAGACTGGGGTAACTGAAAGAACTGTTTAAGGGTAACAGCAAATGCACTCTGCTCCTTTCTTTTGGAGACAGGAAAGAAAAGAGTAAGTTCAATAGACATTGGTCAGTGTGGGTCTCATAGAGGTTATCACATGCTAGTGGAGTGCTGGCTGACCTTCGGAGTGTATGAAGGTGTTTGTCAGAGCTACATGTGCTGAAGTCAATGAGCCAGCACGGGCTTAATCATAGCACAACTTTGAGCTGATCTCCACATCACCGTGGGAAATAACATGAGTCTTGGTCCTGCAGGCCCAAACATGAGCTTCACTGCTTTTGACTTCCTTTTTGAGACTTGTGACTGTACACTTGGACTTCACAGGGAGAAAGTACAGGCTAAGGTTTTCCAAAGCAGCTTTTTCAAAGGTTCTTATTGGTACTGATAAAAAGAAGAATAAAAAGAATTTTCCATATGATATCCTGAACCAGGGATCTTCTAAAATTCATATCAGAAGATATCTACATTTGCATGAGCAGTTTTGAGAAATCTGAAGGAAAGAAATTTCTCATTAATCAAAAGGAATTCCTTCATTAATGCCTATTTTTTTTTTGAGGGTTTTTGTATGTTTCTAGCTAGAAGTTTAAACTCAGATTATATTAAAATATTCTTTAAAATGCATGCCATCTTAAACTTGCCTGCCTGTCTTTTGAAAATGCAAAAGCTGAAATTAAATGATACTGAGAATGCACCAAACAAATTTTAAAAAGCTGTATTTCAGAACTTCCTTCTTGGGAAGAATCCAGATTTTTTTGTTGGAATTTGTATTTTCCCACAGTAAACTTAGTGTTTTTGGAACTTTATCTCTTGGCAAAAATGCTTGCTACAGACATATTTCTGTTGGTTTTACTCTAAGCAGTAGGGAACCATATAGGTAATCAGGAGCTTCACTCATAATCATAAGTGAAGGTTCTCTCAAGAGAGAGGAGCTAAAAGTATGAATTTTTATGATGGCCCAACTTGACTTGCAGTCAGCTTGGGCTGTGACTCTCAAGACTGGAATCTCTGACTGTTTTGTTCTGCACTTGATGAATGTCAAGAGTAACAAAAAGATTTCAAGCAACTAAGTGGAAAAATAGAAATTAGTTTCTAGATAAAATTACTAACACTGTAGTTTCTAGATAAAATTAATAATGCTGTAAGTTAAAGGCTTCTAGAAGACCTTTAACTTGTCTTTCCATCAATCATTTCTGTTCTGATAATTTATATTCTTTGCACTGGGAAGGATGATTAAAATGGAATAGATCATGTTTTGTGTGCCAGTGTCCGGCATATTGAAAAGAGTGTTAAAGGAGGCTGAGTCTGTTTGCACCACATCTTATTGTATAACCCCTCTGGCTCAGAGCGTCTACCGTCCTACCGGCTTTCAAAGACCTGAAAGTAGTTTGTCTCTTCCAAGTTTGTTTTATTTTCTCTGAAATATTTTGGAATTAAAAGATCATACAATAAGAAAGAAATTTTTGGTGCCTATTTAAGGCAACTCTGAGGAAAATGAAATTAAACGATCATATAATAAATGAGAAAGTCCTTGGTTTCCATTTAAGCCAACAAGAGTCTTTCCATGAATTTCCAACTGCAGCCAGCTTCTGCTGAACATCATAAATTATTACAGGAGTGCAGCACTCATACAAATATCTTGCAACAAAGACTTACGCAAAAATGTTATAGATAAGAGTAAATAGAAACAGCAAGTTAGGATAATCAGAATAAGATGGTAAAGCAAAATCTTCAGTAATCAACAGTGATTACAAGCACATAGTCCTGTACTTAAATCCAAGCAATTCACTTGCAAAATTCAAAGAGCCAAAGGAAAGGCTGCAGAGCAAATTCCAGCATTCCCTACCTTTTGGCCCGTCCAAATTCACATGGTGAGTAGCAGTTCTCCTTCATTTCTTCCTCGAGGGAGTGAAAGACTTCAGAATTGGCAGCTTCTTGATGAAACTTCCAAAGATGCTTATAGAAATGTTCCCTGGAAGTCATAAGTTTCTGTATGGGCTTCTCTGGAAGTTCAGCTTCCTGCTCTTCGTAAGTTGAACTGTCCTCTTCAGGAGGCTCACTGAAATCTGCTGCCACTGGAGAATCCAGGCAGTCTTCGAGGTCTGGAGAGGTGCTACCTCCATCACTGGTTGACTGATCCATACTGTTTCCTAACTCTGTACTGCCTGGCGTTTCTGCCACAAACTCCTTAACTGGAGATGGTGCTGGAGTCTATCAATATAACAGAAAGGTTAGTGTAACTACATTTTATCTCCCATCTTCTTGAAGAACAAAATAACTTGAAGAAGCAGCAGCAATAAGCATGTGAATGGGAATATATGAAATAGTAGCTGGAGGGGAGGGGAAAAAATAAGAGGGGAGGTACTCTTACTAAATAAGTGTTCAGTCTTTATGCTTTTCTTCCATATTCTGCGGGAGTTCCTGCCAGGACACTACTACACAATTCCACTCTCCCCAATATTATTTTTTTTTGCTAGAGGCCCTTTTTTATTTCTTTTCATATCATGTCTCAATTTGTGTCTATATTCTCTTCATTGTGTAGAAGTAGCTTCCAGATTTGACTCGTGTGACTGACCACAGAAAACAGTCAAGAGCACATAGCAGGAGAGCAACAGGAGCCAGTTTGCTATCTGGAAATGGTCCTGGCAGTAATTTCTGCCTGCCTATGTACAGCTCTTATAAATCCTGGAGGGACAGGAGACATAAGTGGGCCATTCCGCTACAGTAATACAAATGCATGTTCATTATAAGAATACTTGTGTATGTGTTCATGAGTTGTGTTGAAGGAGAAGGAATAATAACGATAGCACAGCTAATGGCACTGGTTTAGTCTCTGCTGCCTCTAATGTTTGGGGTTTTTCTCCCCCTTCCTCTCCACACTTCCTCCCCCTTCTCCCCCCTCCCACAAATTCTGCTATCAACAAGAAGCTGAATAACCAGTTGAAACCTTAATATTTTTAAGTTTACTAAGAGGTAGCCTGTATGGGAAAAGTTATTTAGTTTCCTCTTACTCTGGGGAGTAATATAGCTACCTCAAGCCCACAAGTTGTCATAGCTGCAGTTGAGAATACTGTAAGTTTTGGCTGAGGATTTAGTAGAGGATTTTTAGAAGCATCACTAGAATATCTGCTGGGGTATGTGCTGTTTCACTCCAGTGACAGTACTGCAATTAAAAAGATGTTGGTCTGGGATAAACATGTTTCACATCTGTCAGCTTTCTATTGTTTTGGTTACTAAGGAAGAAACAGTTGAACATTAGAGGTTGAGTTGAAGCTGGGAAGGGAAAGAAATGGAATAAAGGGTCTTTGGGAAAATGGAAGGTTGCCTTATTCAAAACTGGCTGGAAAAGGTATTGTTTTTCCAAGTTTACAGAAACAAGCTTACTGATAGAAGCTTTGCCTTACCATGGCACTCTGCTCTATTTCTGGAAGAACACCTTTTGGTGGTCTGCAAAGTAGTAGTACGACTTCTGAAGGAGCTCCTCTCAACAAGTGCAAGACATCCTAAAGCAGAAAGAAGGAATATTATCTTTCTTATGGAACACAGTCTTTTGCACATGTCAATTTACCAACTGGGACGGAGACCATTTTTATAGTGAATGACCAATTCCTATATTTGTGTCTCTCCGTTGTTTTTGGGGGACAAAATTCACCACTGCATGATTGTCATATAAGTGGACCATAGTTTTTATGTGAGTGTGTATCTAAAGCCAAGTCAGTTCTATTTACGTATTTTTGTTCCACCAATAAACACGCAAGTTTAAATTATTTTCTTGAAGAAAACAGGGTTTTCAGGCAAATTCATTGAAATTGCATGTGGCAGTGACACATCTTCTGTCAGTTGTATCAGCTCACCTCCACAGACTGCCATAATAACATAATCAAAGGGGGACTTTCTCAAAGCCCCTCCTTGACATAATATCTCTTCAGTGGCATTCAGCTTTCAGCTAAAGTGAGAGATGAAATACTTAACATGGGAGGGGGGGAGGGCGGAATAATGCTTTAGGCAAAAACACCCTGTCTGTCCCTCTGCACAAACTGAGTAAAAAGGCTGCATGTCAGAAAGCAAGACAGTGTTGGAAAGGGGCAAATTTCAGGTAAGGAAAAAAAAAAAAAACAAAATGGAGCACAATTACAGCAGCTCTCCAGGTGTATGGGACTTACAACACCTTGCCTTTTGCCCTAGGTATTTAATGATACAGGTGACATGCCATTCCAAATTGTATGATTTCAACATTTCTGTTACCAACCTTATCTATTGGTATATGCATATTCGCATACAAAAGAGGTATTTTTCATAAGGTAAACACTTGTAGTCCTTTCTTACCGTTTAATTTCGTCATGGAAAGAATTTCTTATTCTAGGTAAGAAAGTTGAACTGGACTTAGCTCACATGGTAGAGATTTGAATCTGGGGCATGGCATTATAAAACACAAATGACCACAGGGAAAAAATGTTCCAGCTATGCAGAACAGCAATAAAGATTCCAACTAATTAACAACTGGTGTGCATCTGACAATAGACTTTGTGCATCAATAGTAGAAAGTTATAAACTAAATAACAAAGAAATTCTGTTAGGATGGGTATTCTCCTTAAGAACTGTAGAGAATAATCCTACATAGAAATCAGATTAACTATATGCTAATTCTGACTCCCTCTGGTAATGATTAAGTTCAAATGCAGTTTCACCCCATTGTCCTTATTATCATGTTACCCATCTGGAGTTCCAGTGATAGTATTGCCTGGTACCTGATACAGGAGTCCTTGAATAGGCTTCCCATTCACAGCTAAAATGATGTCTCCCGCTTTGATTTCGCCATTCTCTTCAGCTGGCTGCCCTGGAAACAGTCTTTTGATCCTGATGATAGATCCTCCGAGGTGTTCGCAACCATCTCCTTCCATTTGCAGAACACTAAAGCCAAGGCCTCCCAAATTCTTTATTAATTTGACTTCAAATATATTATCTGTTCAAAGTGGGGATTAGAAAAAGAGTGGGAGATGTGGCATACAGAATCACAGAATCCCACATATGCAGCTGATGTAAATTATACCCTCAGCAGTCCTTTTCCTTGTTTCCTGCAGAAGTATATCTACTTGTAATAATGGCAAAAGAAGGCTTTGGTGTTGCTTTAACTTATGTGAGCCCTAGAAATAGCACAGGTAGAATGTGGATAACTGGATTCTGTTTCACCATGTGTTCACGGACTTTATGTCATCTGGTACGAGCTCATAAAGGAAGAAGCCTTTCGTGCCAACAGAAAGGTTCAAATGCTATTCTTTTCTGACATTCTTTCTGTAAGTGTTGGGTATATCTTACTACTGTGTTGATACCTGATGTTAGTTTGGGTCCTGCAGTAACCAGCATAACCTAGAATAAAATTTACTGCTCTTCCCAGACAAGAACAAGAGACCAGACTTTTTCCAAATACAATAGTTGCAGATGAACCCCATTCTGCTAGGGACAATGTAGAAAAGTATGCCCCACGAGAAAGGATGATGTTTATGAGACAGCCTTACAGTAAAAGAAACAGCGTTTATTTGTTGGCTAAATTCAGTGAGAGTGATCTCTGAATCTTCTGCTTTTAAGAAATGAAGTGCTGGCACTCTCCAGTCCTGTTCCTGGGGCAGCAGTTCACCCTGGCTTCATCACTGACATAGCATCAGCAGTTGTGCTGGTGGTGCTCTCTTTGGGTATCAACCTGGCAACATCAACACAGCTGCTTCATGACCAATGGTGCTATAGAGTACAGACAGGGATGTCCCCTCTCCGCTCACGACAGTACAGTATTTATGTCTAAGATAAATTCAGTTATATCTAGCAAATATAACTCTAAGTACATCAGAAATATTTTGTTTAGGACTGATTTTTTATAATGCCATTAATATTACACATTATATGTTTATTCAACATGCAGTTTTCCTTCCAACCCACAGAAATTTCACAGGATTATTTTCATTCATTCCTTTCTTGCACACTGTAAGAAGTCATCCTGAGATCTTTTTTTTTTTTTTTTTTTATCACTCACCATCTGTCAAAAAGCAGTAGTCCTTGATATCATCTGTGAAGGATGTTGCTACAGAAACAACTGCACAGTGGTCCTCCTTTCTGGTATTAGCAGTCAGGCATGGCTCTGCTGATTGGTAGTTTCCCCGTTCTAGAACCAGCTTGGCAATCTAAAATAATGAACAGGTTCTAGTTACACAGTACACAGTGAGCCCTAAGTCTTTTCTTTTTACTTTTGCTTTTATAATAGAGTTAGGGTGTGTGTGTGGGGTGGGGGAGTGCAGTTTCTCCTCATCCAGCTTTGCTACTGTGCTTCATATTAAATGCAGTTTAGTCTCCTGGGTATCTTACTGAGCTTTGCTGTTGTACAAACCTGGCCAGACTTCTTCAGGTGTTCCACAGCCTGTTTGTGAGTGATGCCACAGAGGCTGATGCCGTCTACTTCCAGGAGACGATCACCTGAGGCAAAACAAAACAAAGAAGCAAACAAAAAAGGGTTCAAGTTGCTTTGATGTTTAAGTTCAGTGGGTGTGAACCTTGAGGCTACCCATGATGCAATAGACCTTCATGCTTGCAAGTGTCAAATTATGCTAGTTTGTATGAAAGCACTACTGCTTGTACAACATTCTATACCTAGCACTTAAAACATACCAGCATATTCTGTAAGTAAAATGCAGTGATAGTATCTGGTTATCATACCAGCTTCTGAAAGTAGATGTTAAAGTCACTAGCCTGATGTGCAGCTACACAGAGTAACTGTACAATGTTGGTGTAAGGCTCCTGTTTTTTCCATAAGATATCTATAAGTAGTACTGTGACTGGCTGACGAATAATGGACTACATACTATGTTTCACAGTAGTATGATCTCCGATCCCAAATGGGTTTCATTGTCCCTATGGCAAGCACTCCTCGCTAACATCGACTTCTGCAGCCCAGAATTTTCTTGACAGACATGTTACCTATCTTTATTTGTCCATTCTTATCAGCTGGTCCCGTGGGAATAATTGACTTCACATATATCCCACCGTGGCGTACGCTAGTGTTAATTCCACCCTGCAAAACATACACCTACAGATTAGATTCTTTACGTGATAAAATCAAAGCAATTTACACATGCATTGCAAAACAACTGCTTCAGGAATTACATTTTATATAAATACAGGAAAAAAAGGAAAAGAGTATGTTACTCCAAAGTCCCATCTAGTTATAATATACTTCCCTAGGCAGTAATTTTGTTTTTTTTCTCAGGAAAATGCAATGCACTTCCACTTAGCTATGTAAAAACATTTACTAGATGTTCTTAATTTTTTCCCTGTGCTGACATAAAGAAGGTGTTGCATCTTTCAGTCACTAGCCCAGATTTCACACATGCAATATTCATTCAGTTATTATTAATGTTTCAGACAATACATAAAACATGGACCTGAACTTGCGCAGCCATGTGAGAGCCGCCAACTCAGAGGAATACCAGATTAATCCAAGAATCATGTTCTGCCCATCTGCATGCCCTGGCAAAATTTAGATGAAAAAGCAGCCCTCAATTTCTCCTGCAGGCAATGAAATGGCTGTGGCTTCCAACTCCTTTTCAACAAAGACTGTAAAGACATCTCAGCCTGGAGGGGTAAACTCAACTTCAATAGCCAGGACAAGGAATCATTATTCCAATGTGGCACATGGTTTTCACTGCTGCCTTCTCCGATTCTCTGAATATACAGTCAACTGTATTTCCTTATATTAGGAAATAAAATTGGCCATGGCCCTTTCTCTGGCCTCCAGAGTAAGAAGCTTGATGCCATGCTTGAGTCCACAAGCTAAACTTTCAGCACGGGATGGCTTCTGTTGAGGCATTCCCCAAAGCCCTATTAAGGGCTGTCAACAATTAAACAGATCCCATGCCATAGTCCTGTACAACCTGCTTCTGCAGACACAGCCTTTGAGTTCCAGGAGCTGTAGGGGAGCAGCAAAACCAGTTATGACTTGGAGAATTCTTGAATTGCTGCATTTTCTAGAAGCCCTGGCAATATCCCTTGCTGACCAAACTCGGTGGCTGGTCTTGTTCCCAGACTGAGTAAGGTTGAAAAGGGCTTGTGCTGCCACATGCTGGCACACTTTCACAGCTCCTGCAGGCAAAAACTGGGGAATGAGCAGAGCATGTACTTTATGCTTTCTCAGTCAGTCAACTGGACACTTAGGTTTGAAATGTGCCATGAGAACAACTTTTGTCATCAGCCTATCTCCTATCTCTGTTCCACATAAATACACTTCTCTATGTGTTTCTTGATCATTAACAGTTTGACAGACACACTGAAAGATTAACAGTAACACTTGCAGTCACACTGATTCCAAAAGTTCCATCTTCTTTAACAAGCTCCACAGTATAAATTTCCTTTGAGTTAGTTTCAGATGGAGATGGTAAGTGCGAAGAATCAGCTTCCTGTCTCAAAAATATAAACAGTAATGAGAGTGCAGCATCTCAATACAAAAGGAGGGTAAGGAAGAATAAAAAGGAGAGTTTCCAGGAGGGTTTGATCCTGCTGGCACTGTAAGCCTGGAGCAGTAACATTTATATCCCTGACACTATTTCAATATTATGGTAATGTTTCTCAAAATATAATCTAAATGTGCATATGCTGAGCAATGGGGAGGTTGTCTAATAGTAGAAAATTAGACACAAATTGTTGCTGTTCTCTGTCAGGTTGAAAACTTAAGAGAATGCAAGGAGACAATCAAAATTTTGTACCCTCACTGGAAAAGGGAGGAGAATTTTTAATAACATTTTTGGGAACAGTTTCCCTATTTTCTTTTGCATATTCTAGGCATGTCTATCATCTTGACATTTCCAATGTAATTTAGCAAGTGACATCTTCCAAGGTTTTCTTTCTCCTTTACTAATTTTTTTAAGTTTCTTGGTTACTTTCTGCTCTTAACAACAAAGCTGGAATATTGTTAAGATGCATACCGGGCATAAAAGTACCGAACTGCATCAAAATCTCAGTTACCTCCACATCCAGGCTATCAGCTGAAGGAACTGGAATCCTAGAGCCCAAATCTGGTACTAAACTCCAGGAAAGGGCCTTCTCAAGTTCATCTACATTTATGTCCTGTTCTTTGGGGAGGACTGTATGACAATCCTGAATCTTTTTTCTCCTGTTGTCTGCACAAGAGATCTCAGATCCACTAGTGCTGTTTCCTCTTGATAGATTCTTTTCTTCATTTAGTCCTTCTTCACATATGTCTGTAAAGCCATAGCAAAATAAATCATTGCTGAATGCAAACAATAAGTAAACTTGAAGGCAAATATTATTAAAACTCAGCACAGGAGGGCAAAATAACTTCCTACACCTGATTGTGAAATCAGATCTATAAAATGAGTCAGTCATTGTAAAGTGGAGCGCTGCTATTATGAATGTGGAGAATGTGTTTGCTTTATCATTGCAGAGGACTGTTTCTCTATGACAGAAAGAAATGAACAAAATCCCTTGGTATTCAGCAAAGCAGCCAAAAATAGATCTTTTCACACTGACTGTAGAGCAGAGATCACTTGATACCTACTAGAAGCTGTTTTCACTGCTGGACTATGGTTATTATGACAGACACTGAGCAGCAAGAAGTACTACTACATTCCCTTGCCTAATAAATACCAGCGTCCTGAGTTAACTATTAGCATTCCATAGGCAGGAAAGGCATTTGCCTTTATACCTTTGGGTTGAGAGATGATGAGCTCCACTTCATCAGGAGAATTCTGTATGATTTTAACTGCAGTATTAAATGAAACGCCCTCAAGACTAGTATTATTCACAGAGATGAGTCGTCCTCCTTAAAAAAAGCAAAAAAAACCCAAAAAACAAAACACAACGATAAAACTAAGACAAAGGAAACCTAAACAGAGAAATAAATCCAGAATAGCTAATTTTAAGTCATGAAAGTATTTTAATTCTAATTAAAAACTAAGGACAATAACCTGGTTTGATATTTCCAGCTCTGTCTGCAGGTCCCCCAGGGATAATTGAAGCAATAAAGATACCGAGGTCTAATTTTCCTACATTTTCTCCTCCAATAATTACAAAACCTGCAAAAATGAGATAGCATGAGAATGCAGACACCGGCATTATTAGAAAAGAGGAACCTTAGAAGCATAAAAAGCTCTTGCTCTAATGGCTTAAGTTTTATATATGGTCTGGAGAATGGGGAGCTCTGATTTACATGGCATTTGTAAAACAGGTAAAAAAAAGGTCTTGATTTGCAAGAGCTTTAGATTTGTATTATATTATAATTAAAGCGTGCTGGTGACTTTGGTGGCTATGTAAGTATAATTTCTCAATAAGAATACCTTCCTGGCACAGGACTTTCAAAGATTCCAGGTACTTTCTTACAAGAGTCATAAACTCTTGTATGTGGACCTTAGTATTTAACACCTGCAGGAGTAAAATGGTATAAAAGCTCATTTAATAAATCAGACATTTTTCTGCATCATGTAACGTAGGGCCTGTCAGGTGGGCCATGTAAATTTCTAATGGAAATGTAAGGCATACCTAAGAAAATGAAATCTATTGTCAAGGAGTTCAGTTTCACTATCCTAGTTCAGAATATTCTGCTTATTGCAGAATATATTCTTTCTGGTATAGCATAGTTGGGTTTGGGATGAGGACATTCCACACAGACATTTAGAAACTTGATGCTTAATTGTGTTAATGGTCAGCTGTGTAATGTGATGCTCCTCTGAACTTATCCACAAGAACAAAATAGAGTGCAACAGTGTATTATATAACAAAAAATGTTATCTGAATAAGAATCCAAAAGTCAGGAAACATTAGTGTTAAGCTTGTGTACACATTTTGCACTTCCACAGGCAATACTTGAAAGGTTTGCAGAACATGATCTCCCTCGTGTAATGTCTAAGATAAATAAAATCACTGAGCTTGCATTTCAGATACAAAAATAGACCCTTTTTCCTTTCACTGTACTCTTAGCACTTGGTCCCCTTGACCTCTGTGGCCTTAGTTAATCCTCTGAAAAAATTGTGGTCTTGATTTATGTGCTTAGTTCTTTTCAGTCTCAGAAATTCTAAGCCCTTCACAAAGACTGGTAGCTTTATTCTATAAGAATAAATGAGGTGAAGAAGGTTACAGTCTTGGCCAGGCTTAGTCAGCAACTATCAGTGTTAGCACCAGGATCTGAAAGTCTCGATAACAAACACAACATTCGTGTTCCTTACTTACCAAATCCATTCTTAGTGTCACGTTTTAGGTTGACACAGATTATTTCCCTTTCTAGACCACTTAGTAAAACTTCCTTTTGGATGGCTGGTGATCCAGGTGCTGCAGAAACAAAACAGCTAGAATAAATGCAGATTGATGCAGGGAGACAATAGATTCATATAGTATGAAAAACTGGGGCTTCAAAATTAAAAATATATTTTGTCCTTTTCAACGTTACCATCACTTCTGAAACAATATAACTCGAAGGAAGCTCAAACAAGTGTTTGAAAACTTGTATTCTTTAGAAAAGCATATGTACACTCTCTGTGTAAGTTCTTCCTATAATCACAGTATCACAGTATGCTAGAGATTGGAAGGGACCTCAAAAGATCATCTAGTCCAATCCCCCTGCCAGAGCAGGAACACTTAGATAAGTTTACACAGGAACGTGTCCAGGCGGGTTTTGAATGTCTCCAGAGAAGGAGACTCCACAACCTCCCTGGGCAGCCTGTTCCAGTGTTCTGCCAACCTCACTGAGAAGTTTCTTCTCAAGTTTAAGTGGAATCTCTTGTGTTCCACTTTGTACTCATTTCCCCTTGTCCTATCATTGTTTGCCACTGAGAAGAGCCTGGCTCCATCCTCGTGACACTCCCCCTTTATATATTTATATACACTAATAAGGTCACCCCTCAATCTTCTCTTCTCCAAACTATAGAGACCCAGCTCCCTCAGTCTTTCCTCATAAGGGAGATGCTCCACATCCTTAATCATCTTAGTTGCCCTGTGCTGGACTCTCTCCAGCAGGTCCCTGTCCTTCTTAAACTGAGGGGCCCAGAACTGGACACAATATTCTAGATGAGGCCTCACCAGGGCAGAGTAGAGGGGAAGGAGAACCTCTCTCGACCTACTAACCACCCCCCTTCTAATACACCGCAGGATGCCACTGGCCTTCTTGGCCACAAGGGCACAGTGTTGGCTCATGGTCATCCTGTCGTCCACCAGGACCCCCAGGTCCCTCTCCCCTACACTGCTCTCTAACAGGTCGTTCCCTAACCTATACCTGGAACCTGGGGTTGTTCCTGCCCAGATGGAGGACTCTACACTTTCCCTTGTTATATTTCATCAAGTTATTCCTGGGAGACTATGCATTTATCTGCAATAGTTTTAAGATTAGGACATCTAAAGAGAGAGGCTTGTAGTGCCCATTGAACATGAGGGTGATTTGGAGACAAAATCTCCTATGGATTCCTTTGGAAACTCTAGCCTTTGTCCCTGAGGGCCCTTTTGTCTCTGTAAATGCAATCCAATCAGCACTGATTAGGATGGTGACTTGTAGTGTTAACACTACTTAATATTGTGCAATTGCCACAGCATGACCAAAATACAGTTCTAATTTTAAAATGGGCCAAAGAAATAATCATAGCTTTGTATTTCACTTGTGCATGCAATGTTAGACAATTAGGTGTCCAGATCTTATTCTAGTTAGTGTCATACAAATGCAAGAACAGAGGAAGGACCTGGAGCCTATGTCGTCTCATACATTATTTATTGGGTTGTAGATCTTAATTGAAAATCAAATGATGACCTCTGAGCATTGCGGTAGTGCCTCACGCGAGAGTCTGGGGATACTGAACAATGTCTATGAAGAGTGTTAAGCACCATTGATAGAGTAATTATATCATTAAGTCCCCTACCACTAATCCTGATGGAAAGCAGGTGTGAAAGGGAAGAAAAGAGCTTGTCTTGCTAAAGTCTGGGTTAATTGCCAGGACTAGAAGTGCAAAAGTATATTCTTTAATCTGTAAGTAAAATATATTTCGGTCTCCTGCTATTAAAACAATAACATGGAAGGGTACTGTCTCTATGATTATTATACTCACCACTGATTGTGTTCTGAGTTGAATGGATAGACAGGTAGTCATAACTCCTATGCTTTCCATTCAAATTGATGTGCATTTCTGACTGGGATAGTCCTGATGTGGATCTGCATGGCAGGAGGTAAAGACCTCATTACTGGAACAAATCAGCAATGGTATTTAGCACTTCTCATTGTTATTAGTCTGTCAGAGCCAAGTTGGGAACACATGTCTTTATAGTCTTGCAATGATTATTCTGATTTCTGGGCCACATTTCATTGTAGAGTAGAGGTAGTCTATCCTTGCCAGCATTTGCTTCCAAATAACAGCTGCCATTAGACCACTCACATCACAACTGATTTTGCCTTGTGTATTCTTTGAGCTGGGCACAGGCATCAGGAAAACAGCATAGTCTCAGCATGATTCATTTAGCCTTGCTGTCCACTTAAACAAAACCTCGTCTGAAACTTTTCATAGTAGTTCCTGTTCTTCTCGGCTCTATTCTCAGTATTCTAAAAGGAACTAGAATTCATCAAAGGCCTTGAGACTGTGTGCAGCTATAGTAACTGCCTACACTGGTGAATGTACCAATGCAATGAAAAGGGAGAAGTTCTTACGCAGTTCTCTGTGATTTGCACCTTTAGACAAGGAGGAATCAATTAGGCAAGACCTGCTCAAAACCAGCTTCCAAAGTGCATTGAGTTCACATACGGCCATTTCCAGAGAAGATAAAGCCACTAAAAATTTTTATTTTATTCTCCCTTATTTTTATCCCTCTCCATAACCCAGTAAGTGGTTCATTCCTGAGTCTAGTACAAATTTAAATGTCATTCTTTTTGAAGTTCTCTGTTAACAGATTAGCTTCCCGCCTGTGTACGCGCTACTGCTGGCACCACGGAACCCCAGGACTTTTGGTGTGACCACAATAAAGGCTGCAAAAAACCCCATCTGCCTCACAGCTCACCATAAACGTTTGCAGTGATAGTCTATGACTGAGTATTCTTACACATGTTTAGAGGAAAAAGCAAACCCACCTGCCGAGACTGCTTTTGTGTCTAGTCCTGTTGCTGGTTTCCACACTGAGGTTATCACAAGATTTGCTCATCATCCCAGCAGAAAGATTTTCCAGGTTTGCTCCATAGAGCACATTCTCTGAACGAGACAATCTCTGAATCAGGGCAAGGTGTTCATGTTGAGCTGCATATGCAGGATTTGATTTGTCTATTTCCACAAATTTACTTTCCTCTTAATAAGAAGGGAGAGAGAGGGAGGAAGGAGAGATAAATCCACTGATAATTTCCCATCTTTTTAAGCTCAAAGGCACTTTCTGTCTAACCTTTAGAAAATGCCAGCAAAAAAAGCTGAGCATCACAGATATATTTGTTCTGGTATCCTGGGGGCTATCTAGGCCTTGGAGAGAGTGGAAAGGGTTTCCAAATAATTTCTGACATAGAAAGGATATGTTATAGTTAGATTTCATTTCTATGGATTATACTTTCCACAAACAGATGAAATTTACAACCCTGTATAATTTAAAACTGAATATCTCTGTAAAGCATACTTTGGAAACATTCAGTGTATGGAGAAATACCCATCTGTCATAGAGTGAATTAGTCAGGTTGGTAGTTTCCTGTCCTTCATGGACAGGACACCACTCTGACGTATATGTATCTGAAAAGACAGGAGCTACACTAATACATGCTCTCTTAAGTTCAGAGAGGGGCCAAGGAGCTGGCTGTTTGCTGTAAGTGATTTCCACAAGTGAAGCTGAATAAGGGGCCATATTGATGGCAGTGCTTTCTACCCAGTTTTCCACCTCTGTGTGAAATCTACTACTTGCTTAATGACATCTGGGCTCTGCTATATACGAACCTATCCTCTCAAAAGATTTAATTTCCCTGAAACAAGATAGTGCTGGGGGAGGGATTGTTAATTTATTTAGGTTCTCAGCTGGTGGGCTGGGCAGGGGATTTGAAGGCGAGAGGGACAGTAGGCAATAGGAGGGATGCTGGAAAGTAAAACAAGCTTGATATAGGCTAGCAGAAATATAAGCTTTAATTGTGCTTATACATGACAGCTGACCTGCCATGTGTTTTCCTAACAAGTGTTAGCCTGAATGCTTTCTAGAATGCTGCTGTGAGGCATTAAACCAAGGCTCCCTCTTTCCTCAGCGACTTGGTTCAGGGGGCATTTGTTGAGGCATCAGAAGGCTTAACTGTCCACAGTCTGAGCGCAGTGTGAGAGTTGCCATGATAATTTTAAAGTAGGGGGTTGCTAGCAATGTTTGGAGAGATGGTGACTTGTACATTTGAAGAGTGCAGCAGAAGCAAGTTTCCTTCATGAAGAAAGAGCCTTATAATGTCTTACAGCCTCACAGTGGTGACTAAGGCAGCATTGTGAATTACTGTCTGTCATTGTCTTCTCAAAGCCTTTATTTCTGGGACAGCAAGCGCATATCAGACCTCAGAACCTGCAGTCACATGGCTTGTGTAAATCTGATTTTTCATTGGTTGGAGGGGGCTTATAATCAAGATTCGGGTTATAATTTTCTCAGCTCTCATATATTGAATGTAGTAATTTTTGTTAAGATATGTTACCACAAGCAAATGTGACACAGGAAACTCTAAGATTCACTGTTAGCACTCATTTGTATGCTACAGATCACAGTCCCACTAAGTTATGTTTGAAGCTACAGGAGCCCAAGCAACAAAAGATGCTTTGAACCTAAATGTCATCCTAGCACCTTTGCCATGGTAACAAATATGTACAGGTGGAATTTCACTTTCATTAAATAATTTTAGTGGGAAAAAAGCCATATATCAATCATCCTGTTATATTCCATGATATAATTTTTTGCCTACGCTTTTACAGTTTTACTAGAGAAAGGAGTATCCCAGCAGATAAGGCATGACACTTGACTCTCCCGCTATGACTCACTGGGTCAAACACCCAGTGCTTCTAAATGATAATGATTCTGTTCAAAACAGTGGATGAGCTAGTGAAAACTCATGTTGCTTCACTGAAGCCAAGAGTGATGACAGTTATCAGCTTAGGCTATTTTCTCTTATATGCCTCAGTTTCCCTATAATTATCCTCACAATAAGTGCTATGTAACTGGCCATAGTTGAGCATAACTTTGTCTTTGAAACTAGAAAATCTGAAGTTTAAGGAGGCATTAGTCATATCTTCCACAGACATGGCAAAATCTAAGATAAAAGCAGCTAGCAGCTACATAGTTGAGTGAGTATAACGGATGTGCCTTGGGTTTAGTGGTTTTGATCTGGGACTGAACCATACAGCTGAACCCCTGTCTTATGCAAATATGGCTAGTTAGCTAAGCTCAGCTCCAGCACAGCTGGGCAGTACTGCATTTATTCATTTTGAGCAACATTTCTCAGGATACAGTTGGAGTAAGCTTGATATGTTTCTTCAGATTTCTCAGCAGATTTCCTGAAGGGAAGTGTAATCATGTTTGTGGGTTTTTTTTTAATCTGGGTTTAGCTACATAGTTTTTATCATCAGAGAACCCCTCTCCACCCCCTGCACATGCCCACTCTCATCCAGAAACTAAACTAGACTTATACACCTCTAAATTCTAGTGAGTAGGAGACATTATTTTCTATTTTGCAAATGTGAAACTGAAACAGAGTGAAACTGATGTGGCATGTTCTGATTATCAGCTTCACTGAATGCACTTTTTCTAATAGCTAACTTTGTCCTATATCCTAAATAATGAAAAGTGCATTTATACCTCACCTGATGATGTCTGCCGAAGTTGCCTAGAATTCATCTGTGCATTGAATTTGTGCTGGGCAGAGCAGAGGTCCAGTAGATATTTACATGTCTTTGCTGTATCGGTAATGAAGGTGTGTTTCTTGCCACTGAAGTTGCTTTCAATCATGAACTTTTTTCTCTAAAAGGATAAAAAGCACAGCTTGCTTCATATATCAGTCATTACAGTGAGGCACTGAAAGTTCATTTACATAATCTTGTTGGTTTGTCCAGTTGTATTTATGCCTGGTTTCATGCCTTTGAATACAGTAAATACCTATCATAAATTCAGCAGTTGTTACTGAGGTGGCTGTCTTCTACCCTATGTCAAAAGTCAGGAGACTTTGGACATTGACTACGTTGAGAGCAGGTTGACAGAACGGGCAAAATTTGGCCTTACAGATGTTAAAATGATTAAATCAATTTAATATAAAATCAAAACTATCTTCAAGGGTCAGAAAGGCAGTCCTGGGAGAGCAGGCAGGCTGGGGAATGTGTGATGCAGGTTGACACCTATGGTGTATGATGGTAAATTGATATACCTCTGATGGCAAAATAGAATTTAGAAGGGGTCACAATCTTGTCACCAGTACCAGTTTGTTAACAGGCATCAGTATACCAAGAGATGAGGATGGAAATAATAAGATCTGGAAAGACAGAGATTGATCCCATGACCTGCTGTGGGTAGGAAAACAAAAGGAGTGGGGTGGGGGAGGGAATGGAGGGGGCGAAGAGAGAGGGGAAGATGGGAATGAATAGGGAATATGCCATAGAGAGATTGTCAACACCAGGTTATTCAGTTTCATAGTAATTTGACTCCAGCCTTGGCAAAAACCCCTCCAGATCTAAACCTCACTGAGAGCTGGGTATCTTGGTAACTACATCCACATCCAGCCTTGATTTTAGACTGTTTTCAAAAAGGACTTGATTGTACAGAATGAGTTTAATTCTGGCTCTGAATGCAATATTTATCAAAGTGACAGGCAGAAGGGGAGTAATGTGGTAGGGTGGAGAAGAGAATCACTTGGTTCCAACTCACATGAGCTGAAATTCTCTCTGTTTCACGCCACTGGAATCTTAAACTGGCAATTCTTGTTTGATTTTTAACCTCATAAACAATGATGCCTTTGGCACAGATTCCCAGGATGATGTCCCCTGCTGCTCCTTTCTTCTCTTGGGACACACGGTAGAATAAGACTCCATATTCAGGAAGTTGCTGAGTCACCTTGTAGAGAAAAAGCGCATTTACCAAGCATAACCCTTTAAAGATGCATGGGAAGAAAATGTAAGTAGCTGGGAAAGGAAGTGGTTTTGAGTCTCTTTACTCAATATTCTTTCACTCTGTCAAGAAACCTTTGAAAACCCTTACCAAATTTTCCTATCTGCTGCCTCACAGAATCATCTCTTTGGTATGTCATAGGACCATTACATGCATTCATTTTCCATGCGTAAAATTGAAGCAACGCTTTCCCACGCACCTCATTTGAAGAGGCAGGAGGATTATATACCTTCCTCCACTGAGGTATTCAGCATTACTGCTACTTGGCACTTGTGTGCATTTCTGAATAGAAATCCATGCAGGATTAGTGCTGCTTGACTACTGTTAAGCCTTGTTTCATTTCATTTTCTTTCCTGTGTCTTTGTTTTCCTGAGCAAACCCAGAAACCGTGAAGTACAGCAAATATGATGGTCTTAGTAAAACCGCTAATATTTTGGTGCAAGGGGTACTATGACTTTTTTATGGGCTTGTGTGGTTTCCTTTCAACAATAGTGACATCCAACTGGACAGTGACACTACAGCTCCCTTCCTGCAGCTATCTCACACGTATGTCCATATAGGTACATATGTCCATTTCTTTATGGCCATCATCTTTTAAAATCAGACATTATAGATTTCTGTTGCCAAGGTCTTAAATTATAGGGTTTCCTAATTTGTCCCTTAAATTATCTTACCCAGATATAGTGGTGACTTTTGAGGGAATTTCACTGTCTCAGAATTCCTTTCGGTGCCAGACTCTATAGCAGGTGTCACTTCTTTCTTGCACAATGTCCATTGCTAAGTAAAACATTAAGTAGGAATATACTTCAAGGGACTGAAGGGCCAGCTTGTGGCCCTGCCATCTATCTGTACAGAGGATACTCTGAGGAACTCACCCAGAGGTTCTGGGTTGTTGCCTTTGTACCTCCTGCACTTGGCAACAAAATGTTAAAAAATGACTCAGACCCTTTACAGAACTATGGAATATGAGGAGGGGTTTCTGTTCTCTTTTGTGATCTGCAGATCAGTAAAAGTGTATTCTACAGCTTTTTTTTTGGGGGGGAAGGGGGAGGAGAAGCTAACATAGAATCCCCAAATTACTTTTCAGTAAGGAAAAGGGATTTTCAGCGGTGAAAAATAAAAGAAAGTAAGTTTTTCAGAAAGCATCCAGAGCACAAATATTTAGGTCCTGAAAACTAGGGCATCTATAATTATTTGCTGAATCTAGGTTTTCATTTTTAATCCTTTTTGTATTTGAAATGTGCATGTTCTTGCCATGGGGGCTATTTTTCTAACTTTGTATGATGTGTTGGCTTCTTCTACAAACTTATTCATTGAAACAGATACTAACAAAGCTGATTTTCTTCATTGGATTTGCCACGCAGGATAGAACTGTCATTAAGGCTAAGCTTCAATCTATTTCTTCAATTCCACTGACAACATTGGATGAGGAACTAACATAATTAAACAGCAACTGAGCTAAAATTATGCTATAAATAAAAACATGTGGCACTGCATCTAAATGGCTACTGATACTTATTCATTATCAAATCCTGATTTTTTCATTTGATAGCAGGCAGGGAAGTTTGGGGGAGAGTGAGAAATCAGGAAAGAAAAAAATATTTCACATCATCATGACAGTCTAGAGCCCTAGAGAAAGAGTCATGTGAGAAAATACTTTGGAGAACTTATTCCTACCTTCCAGAGTTCACAGATATTTTTAAACAAATAATCACTACATGTTCAGAAAGTAGCTGAATAGCTGCTGTAGTTTCAGAAGTCAAGAAAGTGCTTATTCCCATGCTTATAATCATCCCTAATACATTCAGTAGGCACATTTATAATCATCTGGAGCTCAGACATGTTGGTAACATGCTGAAAATTTGCATCAACCCTTGGGATGTTGAAAATACACTGAAATGTATATTAACCCTTTATAAACTATCAGTGAAAGGGAAACTACAATGGAAATGTTATGGAAGTTATTTAGAGTACCAGTATCTGCAGCAGAATGAAATTCACAGGTTTTTGTTGACTGTTCAAATTTGTTCACCATATCTAAAATATACTGTATCAGACAAGAAAGAAATAATAGACAGTGTAAAGAGAGAGGGGCTTTCTATCTCAAAATAAATGTTTGGGGTATGGCAAGTTACCTTTAAAAATTCTAGTTCAGCTTCATCCTCAAATAGGGAACGATTCATACGATGTAATTTAGCAAGCTCCCTCTGTACATGTGCCAGGGTCATTTTCTCTATTCTGCTTGCTGGAACGTAGTCTTCAACACGAAAATAGCTTTTCCCATGCATCTTTGGGAGGAAGAAAAAATAAATAAAATAAAATAAAATAAAATAAAATAAAATAAAATAAAATAAAATAAAATAAAATAAAATAAAATAAAATAAAATAAAGTAAAATAAAATAAAAGAAATAAACAACCCAAACAACAGAGAGAGAAGCTTTTTGTTCTTTCTTGACTTTTCTTACTTGGTGCATTTCCATTTTCAAGGTGACCCATGTGCTGAAGTCACCCTGTTGCCATTTCCTAAGAGAAGATGGGGAACAGCAGGTAGTATCATGACAGCCAAATGTTCCTCTTGTACTTGTGCTCAGCCAGTTGCTTAAAGTACACACTACTGTATGTATTGTGCATGCCTGCAGTTGTGCATGTGGAGCTGACAGCTACAGCTGCTTCAGTACAAACTACAAGGGGAGCCCCAGTGCAGGGATGGATCCAACCAGATAGATCAGACCACTCAAGAGTTCAATTAACAGAGCTACACTGATTTGTACAACTGAAGATACAGCAAAGGCCACGAATGGGTATTTTCTGTATACTTTAAAACTGGGATAAGTAGTTCAGATAAAGCATCAGTAATCTGTCTTTGTAGGTTGTGAATCTGAGCCAACACATAAAATAGCTGCAAATTCTGAAGTGTTTATTTTTTTTCTTCCATGTTTTCTAATATCTTTAAACCCCTCTACACATCAAAGCTGTGCCTATGTTGAATTTTTTCTGCAGATTTTTAGAGTTTCTGGCCTCTAATATTAATTATGAAGGACCAAGAGTCTTTCATGATTCTGCCATATTGCCTACCAAATTCATCTGGTTTATTATTGCTCTTTAATCAGGAAAACTTTGTAATTTTTAAAATTAAATATGAAATGTGATTACTAAAGGACTTAGCTGAAATTATGTGCTTTTTACATTTCTTCTTTAAACTCTAGGTGACAAACAAAAGTTGTTGAGAGAGACCTCTGAGAAATATTGTATTACTTATCCACACCTCAGGAGCATAATTGCCAAGCTCTGCCTGTAAAGCCAAAGCACCAAGTTTCAGAGCAGTCTCATCATTGCAATACAATCGCTCCTCCAAAATATCTTTACGAAGCTGAAGATAAAACTGATGCCTTGTCAAGCCATGCCTGGAACATAAAGAAGGTTTAGGAACACAGGGGAAGCCTTGAACAGTCACCTTAAATGCTTCTGTTTTTCCTGCCATCAGCAGAAGCATACACTTACTGGATAATATTAAAGTGATTGACAAAGAATTTTATCCTTAGAAAGAGTGTGAAATTAATGATGGATGTTTTCTTCTTGGGTTGGTCATTCCAGCCATCTGGGGCCACTTTGTAGAGTTTGGTCTCCTCATCCAAAAAGAAGAATTCTTTACCTGAAATGAGATTTTGGATTTTGTGATAAATCTGGAGAGACTTCAATTTTTCAAGGTTCTGCTTTGTTCAGTGCATCACTAGCAATAAAAAAAGGGATCATGGATGTTAGTTGAGATATATTTCTCTGCATCATGGCTTAATTTACTGCTTCTTTGATGCAGAAATTAGGATAACACAGTGTGTAATTTAGGATTAGAATTGTTTGATGCTGGATTGGTGAGGTGTCTATGGAATTACTCAAAAATCAACGGGGCTTGTATTCTGCTCACCATTGTAATCTTCATGTCCTACACACAAGGTATGCTTCTTCCTAGTGCCTCAGCTATGCTTGCTATCAGAAATGGGCTAGGGAGATTTGTGTCTTGTAGATGAAATAGCTGAGCCTGTACTCCAATTTATATCTAGGAACAGTCAGCCTTCCTCATTACAGTGCTTCCTGGAATTTCTAAGGGAGCTATATGGCTCAATATTATCCCAGTGCAAGGCTGGGACACAGCCTTTGCTGCATGAGAATATCGGATAATAACAGTATGGTCGTGCTGATGCAAAGTCCCTAGGGTAGACATACTTTACACCTCTGCAGTACAGTGTAAATCAACATACCTGACTTTTGCTTAAGCTTTGGATCTACTTTCATCTGAGGACCTTAAAGGAACTTGTTGCAATTCATTAATAAAGTGAATACAAAAGCACTGAGGGGGAGAACTGTTACTCTAGTTAGCTATGTTTCATTACCTTTCAGGTAAGCCAAGCCAAAGTAGAAATGTTCCACCAAGTTTGCATATGCCACCACGGTGTTGAAAACATCTCTTGCCTTGGACTTGATGTCACATTGCACCTCAAGGCACTGCCCATTGAGTAGAATCACATTGAGATCCCTCTGGGACAAATAGGATTTCCCTTTTTTAGTCTAAGAACATGTAAAAAAAAATGAAGAATGAGTGCCAAGTACAAGCAATGCAAGCTCCACAACATTTTATTGCTGAGGCCCCCTAGTCTCCTGTCTCTACATAACCTGATGGAGTTGGTCACAACACAATACTATTCCCTGCCTCCCTTCTCACAGATTAATATCCCAAACATTTCTACTCTTTTAAAACCCAGGGAATCCCAATAAAACAGCCGAGCATACTCAGATTCTACAATCACCCTCATTTTCACTGCTGTATGCTGTCAGCCTTTTCCCTTATCTTAATCAAAGGTGCCTGCAAATAGAAGGAGTCCTATATGTTGGCACTAGATGTCACATTGCATCTCTACAATGTATAATCTTAATATACAATGTATAATCTTAATCTCAAAAAGTCTTGTGTTAAAGTAAGCATCCTTCCTGAGAAGGATAAACTAAGCTATTTTACACCATCAGAAAAAAATACATAGCACTGAAAACTAAATGACCTCCTTTCAAGTTCCAATACCTCTGCAGGAACCCTCACTTGGTTTGGGAGGAGCACAAGAATACTGAGTTGGGACTCATCTGTAATTTACAAAAAGCCCCAACTAAAGGATCACCTGGTTAGTTCTAAATTCTTAATGTTCATACTTACCACAATTGATCCAGGCAGCTGTAAGGTCACTGGTGGTTCACTAGACAAAATAACAAATTCTGGACCTGAAAACTGTAAGGATGCAATTTAGAAATTTAATAAATGTTTCCTTAATATAATGAAGATCCCAAACACCAGTACCAATGAAACCCATTTCTGTTTGTCTGTATGTTGTAGCTAATTGACTTCAGTGTCTAATAAGATGGAAATGCTGACTGAAGACTTTTCTCTGTTTGGAGTCTCTCCTGTATGGGCTCTCTGGGGTCTAAATAGGTGGAGGTCATGCTGAAGCCTTTTCTTCTGTAAAGGCACTTAACCAAGATCCATTTCCTTTGCAAGGCACCTATTTTCATGACATCCACAGAAACTTAATTTCTTCTAAGACCTTTTGTCATTTGATTCCCAAGTTACTATAAGGACAGTCACAGACATGTACATATAAACATACATGCTACTGTGATTTTCATAAGCCTAGCTTCCATAGGGCACCAGACTGGAACACAGATCTACTTTCTTCCTTGTAATAAAAGTTGACTGATGTATTAGCAGACACTGTATTCTTCTCCTATAAGTTCCACAGACTTTAACAAGCACTTAGTGAGCTTTTTCTTAGTAAGCATCTATCTCAAGGAATTTTGCTTACTGTTTTTTTTTTTCATATTTATCTATGCATTTATATCCTTCAAGCAGACAGAAAAAAAATGAATGTCTGCAAGTGGCAAGATGTGGATCCTTCCAACCATTCTCCGTGACTTAGTACCTTGACCATTTAGATCTCCCTTTTTCTTATTTTCATTTGAGAAAATATATGGTTAGTTTCATAATACCAGTATCATCTAACAAGACAATGCAATTTTGTATCACATATAACAAGAGTCTAGCACTTTGTTGCAACAGTTACTGGATGCCTGAGGAACTCTATTATTATCCCAGCAAAAAACATATTCACAAAGTTTAAAACTAAATTTATTTATAAAAAGATAACTTCCCAATGTGTCTAACTGAAACTCTGGATCAAAGTTCTGCCCCTGGTCAGTCTGGAGCTGGTGAACTGGGAATAGGTTAAAGGACTCACCAGCCTGAAAACTGTCCAGAAAGCTCCATGGTAGCAGCATTGTGGAGTTTTCTGATACAATTATTTATAGATTTTTGTGACCAAACTGCCAAAAACAACATTATCCTTCCCATTTAGCAGAGTCCTACAACAAATTAGCAACTAGGAATAGACCCTTAGGTGAACTATTGGTTTGGCACACTCTCTGCTAGCCTTTGCTTTCTGTCCAGGCATATACTATAAAAGCAATTTAAGACCTTTGAGCACTGTTGACCAGCAGGTGTTTGGGTTCAGTGTCTCTGTAATTTTTTTTTGCTGTACTAAAGCTCCTGTCAAAGTGGTTATTGAAAACAGACCATATGGTGCTTGATGCTTGCAGAAACCATACTTGTAGGTCAGAGAGGGTTTGATTCTAAGCTTGTTCTTAGTCTTTACAGACAAGAGCTTTCACTGCCTTCAGTTCTGAGTTACCAGGACTGGATCATGTCTAATTTGGAGTTTGTCAAATTAGAATACTCATCTAATGATATGACTCATGCAGGTCACTGGCAACAGGATAAGAAGTTTATCTTTAGTGATATTTACATTTTTAATCAGCTTATAAGTTTTTCATTAGTCACCTTTTCCTTCCTGTGGAACAAACATTTCTGTGATGCAGCAGCTGCTGTGTAGTCCTTTGTAGACACAGAGAAGGTGGAACCTAAACTTAGCAGGTTCTGTCTGCTGTTCTTCTTAATTCCAGTAGGGATTTCTTCTACAGCACTGACTGATCTTCAAAATAAATGTCATAGTGAGCAATATATATATAGCATGCAATCAAAACAATACAGACTTGAGAACAAAGAGCTTAAGGTGCATTGACTGCAAGAATATTATGAAATCCAGGGCACTGTCAGTTACAAGTTGTTAAATGCTTCATTACAGAAAAAAAAAAACCCAAAATAAATCAACTGAGATTATATTATTGATACCCTTTATAAATACATCTAAAATCTGCCTTTTTTTTTTTTTTTTTTTGGTGAGTCAGATCTAGCTGGTTTCATTCTGGTGAAGTCAACAGGCAAAGAGCTTAGCCCCTCGTCTTTCTGTGAATTCTAAATTCCTAATTTCTTATTTTCTGGAGCAAAAAAGCTTCCCAAAATCATAACATTAGTTATTGCATTATTCAGAGTTTTCCAGGAATGGAAACTAAATTATCTTAATACTAATTCATTAGAATAAATTAATGTCTAAGGGAACTGAAGGAATGGGGTGGTTAGTAGGTCGAGAGAGGTCCTCCTTCCACTCTACTCTGCCCTGGTGAGACCGCATCTGGAATATTGTGTCCAGTTCTGGGCCCCTCAGTTTAAGGACAGGGACCTGCTGGAGAGAGTTCAGTGCAGGGCAACTAAGATGATTACGGGAGTAGAGCATCTCCCTTATGAGGAAAGACTGAGGGAGCTGGGTCTCTATAGTTTGGAGGAGATTGAGGGGTGACCTTATTAGTGCATATAAATATATAAAGGGGGAGTGTCACGAGGATGGAGCCAGGCTCTTCTCAGTGGCAAACAATGATAGGACAAGGGGCAATGGGTACAAACTGGAACACAAGAGGTTCTACTTAAACTTGAGAAGAAACTTCTTCTCAGTGAGGGTGACAGAACACTGGAACAGGCTGCCCAGGGAGGTTGTGGAGTCTCCTTCTCTGGAGACATTCAAAACCCGCCTGGACACGTTCCTGTGTAACCTTATCTAGGTGTTCCTGCTCCGGCAGGGGGATTGGACTAGATGATCTTTTGAGGCCCCTTCCAATCTCTAACATACTGTGATACTGTGACTTTTCTATTTAATTAAGACAAAGATGTGTGAAATCAGATCAGAAAGATGTCTTTACACTATACTTGTAATACATACAGTAATGGAGTTTTCCACATGAGCAGAAACATGTGTGCTTAGAATAAACTTAAAGTATAATATATACACTTATCAATGAGGAAAGATTGATTATGTGGTATAGGAGGAAAGATTTTGTTGAGGTAGGTTTTTGTTAATTACATTTAAAAAAAATGCCAAGGTCACACATTTTTTGTTATTCCAAAGTTTTATCCTTTTCTTTTGCATGTTGTAGAGTTGCTTCAGGAAACTATTCATGGAGTTTTCAAAATGTTTTTAGTAAAGTTACTGAAGTAATTGCTGATCTCCATCTCTTCTCCCTGATATCCAGTGACAGGACGTGGGAATGGTTCAAAGCTGTGTCAGGGAAGGTTCAGATTTGATATTTGAAAGCATTTCTCTACTGAGAGAGTGGCCAAACACTGTAACAGTCTTCCTAGAGGGGTGATCACTGCCCCAAGCTCATCAGTTGTTTAAGAGGCATTAGGACATTGCCCTTAATAACATGCTTTAGCTTTTGGTCAGCACTGAGATAGTCCGGAAGTTGAACTCAATGATTGTTGCAGTTGTCTTCCAACTGAACTGAACAAACTATCCTATCCTATCCTATCCTATCCTATCCTATCCTAGTTTAAATTCCTCTGTTATAAAGTTGTCTAGACACTTTTGTTTCTAGCTACATGATCTCTTACAGATCAACATTTAACTAAGAAATACACCTAAAGTGACTTTTGTGGGTATGAAAATACTGTTAGCTAAAAACCCAAGACGCTTTATTAAGAAGATTTGGTTTTCCTGTGGAAAACACTTCCTGTTATTAGGCCTGCAAGGTGGGAGATACAAGACTTGACATTTGTGCCTTCTTTATATATAGGCCAGAGTCCTGTGTGCACTTCAAGCTTAACTTTATGAGATGTAAACTATATCAGTTGGATGGCTTATAGAATTATGATATTAGTAAGCTTTATAGATAGTAAACCCATCACTAAGTTTTGTGTTGGTTGTCCTTCTGCATGGGAAATTAGTGGTTTCCAAACTAATTAAACTCCACTGTTGTCATGGTACTTAAAATAGGTCCTTGCAGATGCTTACAACCAAAACTGAGGTTTACAGTCCTGAAATCCTATGGTAAACAGCTTGCTGGAAATTTGAAGAGTTCATCTTTCAGCAGAGGAGGGGAACATTTTCTTAGCAGTATGATTTTAGATCAAGGATATGGAGACAATACCCAGGTTGGTAGTCAGAAGCATTGCATTTGCTCCAAAATACTCAGTAAATAAATCTTCTGTTACTGATAGCATTCCCAGGTGTGTAACGCATATATAGATATCTGTCTACACACATATGTATGTTTTTGTGTGTAGTTAGGTAGGCAGAGACTTCTTTCTTCACAAAAACTGGCACTATCCTACACCCTGCTTGTAGTTCTTTCTTTATTGCAGGTTTAGAGGTGTACTCGGGTATCTCACATCACACAGATTATTGTGGCTGTTTTAACAGGAAGTTCAACTGTTTACCTGGGGTACATTTAATTGGGTGTTGATCTAAATAGAGCATTTCCTGTGGGCCTGAATTACTCATGCCATGGTTAAAAGAAGAAACTCCTGTTTAACTGGGTCAAGAACTCAATTTAAATGGGATGTCTGTAGGGATTACATGGTGCTTAACTATGGGATTCTGGTCTTTGTGGTGCCTACAGGCTAACAGTACTTACATCTCTTCTTCATTTGGAAACAGCCATGATTACAGCTTCACTATGGTAACACCCTGTTTAGAAAACCCTTGTTTGGCAGCAGTGGTGTTTCCCCGGCTTTTGAAAATGAGTAAGTATCAGCTGTACAATTCTCAGCTTTCCTTGACTATGTCTACAGGGCTGCTGTATAGACTGTGGCTGAAATGAGGCTAATCCTTATGACAGAGCCAAGTTCTTTACTAGTTGTGTCCCTGGGTTACTTGAAACTCTTCAGTAAAGTGGCGGTGCAGGCCTGGATATGGCTGACAAAAGTGAGGCAAATCAATTTAAGAACTGAGATGGAAATGCAAATAAACCACTGAAAATGATGGATCATATACATGGTCTGTCATAACCACTCCAGAACACATCAGGCCTCTGCTAATGTGACAGCAAGTCAAGACCAGAGCCAAAATCTGAATGTAGACAAATATGGACTCCGCAGAACACCTTGGCTGTTAAAGCAATGCCTGTTCGCACCCTCTCAACATGTTTTTCCTTTCCACGCTCCCTGTGGAGCTGCTTCACAGGTGTTTCAGGCACAGCGAGCTATTGCTCCTTACCTGTCTAATTATGCCAGAGACATGCTAGGGGCACCTGTTTTGGGAGGCCAGTAACAGCTGGCAGGACACAGTGGTAAAGAGTAATGGTAGAAAACTTCAGTGTGCTTATTTTGCACGGATTGATCAGGGCCCAAGCTCCATTTCACTAGCACATTCAGACTGTTTCACTTGAAGCCAAACTGAGCCTAGGTGTGCTTTAATTCTGTGTAAACAGTATCTATTATCAAAACAGGTTCAGATGGCAATCAGGCATTTTCTGATAATGACATTGCCTCATTAGCTGCTGTTTCATCTGGCAATAAGACAGCACCATCTTTCAGGAACATGAATTCTGATTACCTGTTTATGAAGAGCTTGTAGCTACTTTCTGTCCTTGACCCACTAAGGGTGGGGTCCCATGACCGGTGTGTCTGTGGAACTCTCCCTGAAATGAACAAAGGAAATTTCACAATTGAAGCAATTGAACCAGCACTCGGCATCAGACCTTGGGACAATAACAAGAAAGAAATTTAGACTGGCTACCTCCTCTTTTGTCCTCACTTGGGCATGACAAACAGCTATTTGATAAGGTTAAGTGAATACTATACCAGCAGTATTCCCAGTTCTCTAGTTATTGTTACTTCCTCTTCATAACTCTTCATGTGAACATAATTTAGAAAATGACCGTGGAGGTACAATGGCTGTTATTTCCATATGTATGGAGAGCTTTTGCTGTTCAGAAATTACCCTTAGTATTCTTTGTTCTTCTATTTCCAGGCATAAAATTGGGAAGGAGGGCTGGTGGAAGCCATGAAATTTCTCTGGCTTAATCAGAGTAGGATATGAAATGAAAACTGTTTAGAAATACTCCAACAGTTATTTAATACATTTAATATATTGTGAATGTTTTTACAGCCTCAAAATCTGGTAGGAATATAGGATGGCGTCTGAGTTATTACCAAATACGTTTTGTATAATTTTCACCTTCAGTCATCTCTGCTGCTAGAGAAAGGATAGGCATTGTTCTGTCCAAATATATGAAAGTTGAAATTTAGCTGTAGAACCAGAAAAGGTTATGCAAGTTCTGTGAACATCTCTTATAGCAGCAGAGGTGTTTTAAATCCTGTAGGGAAAGGTGGGAAGGTTAAATTTTTCTTCGCTTCGACCATTTCATTGATCATATTTGAAGAATTGCATATCAAACTATTACATAAGCAGTGGTGATAAGATGAGCTATGTGGAAACACACATACAGGTCAGCTTTTTTTTCTAGATAAAATATCCATTAACTACACCCTGAGTCCTCACTCTGAATTCCAACACGAAAATGTGACATTGAATTCTAGTATACCAACCACCAATTGCAATTTTAAAAACTAGAAAATCTACACATTGCTAAAATATGCATAAAATGGTTTTCAAGCCACAAATGGTAGTGTCAAAATTTGGAATTTGAGATAAACCAAATATGCAGGTCGAAGGAGGTGATCCTGCCCCTCTATTCTGCTCTCGTGAGACCTCACTTGGAGTATTGTGTGCAGTTCTGGTGTACTCAACATAAAAAGGACATGGATCTGTTGGAACAAGTCCAGAGGAGGGCCACGAGGATGATCAGGGGACTGGAGCACCTCCCATATAAAGACAGGCTGAGAAAGTTGGGGCTGTTCAGCCTGGAGAAGAGAAGGCTGCGTGGAGACCTCATAGCAGCCTTCCAGTATCTGAAAGGGGGCCTACAGGGATGCTGCGAACGGACTCTTCATTAGGGACTGTAGTGACAGGACAATGGGTAATGGGTTCAAACTTAAACAGGGGAAGTTTAAATTGGATATAAGGAGGAAATTCTTTCCTGTTAGGGTGGTGAGGCACTGGAATAGGTTGCCCAAAGAGGTTGTGAATGCTCCATCCCTGGCAGTGTTCAAGGCCAGGTTGGACGAGGCCTTGGGTGATATGGTTTAGTGTGAAGTGTCCCTGCCCATGGCAGGGGGTTGGAACTTGATGATCTTAAGGTCCTTTCCAACCCTAATCATTCTATGATTCTATGATTTACCAAAGTTAAGATTCAATCCTGTGTTCTGAAACTAGGTGCTTTTTAAAGATAAAGCCTTGCAAAGTTCTCTGCTTACACTATAGGTTTCACATAATTGTGTAAATACATTTTGACAAGCACATGAAATTCCCCTTAGTTTTTCTGTCTCAGTTGTCATGGCACTGAGACAAGGTGACTAATTTCAGTGGCCAGACTGCTATGCTTTGATCACAAAACCAACACATTCCTGTTGTTAAGTAACATGTGGCCCTCAAAGATGTTGATCCTGTAGATGATTAATATAATAATGTTGGTCTCTCTTGATAATGGTGCTCTACTAGGTGGTAATATCTTTTTTCAGAGAAGAATGAATTTTTCTAATACATTATCTCATGAAAGAATGTTTGCAGCAAACAAGTTCTCACGTTGTTTTCTCATGTAATTTAGTTTTTTCCTACAAAATCCTGAGTAGAAACAGCTACCAGTGTATCAGTGAAGACTGAGACATGCACAAAGTCACCAGAATGAGCCATTGTCAAGTTTATGTCATTTTTTTAAAAAGACTTACAAAAAAGCCTCCTAGGCTTACCTTCACTGTGTGCCACTAGGTCTGTGACTGACACGTATGCATCACATAGGGAGCAGCTGCAATTTCAGGGGTTTATTGCTGGTGATATTGAAAGTAATTCTGGAGCTTCAGAAAAGTGCCTTTAAGGAGTATCAACAGCAGTTGTATGAGTAGCCTTACCTTCCTCATCCTTGAGGCTAAAGGCTTGGGGCTGAGAGGCTGTTACATGCTGTGTTTTGTGTTTTGTTTGGGTTTTTGCTTTGTTTCTCAGGAAGTATTTGTTTTCTCTCTGAAAATCATCTCTTGGCAGGCTTGGGATAATGCAATTGGCACCCAGGGCTTTTTGCTATCTTTCCTAGGGAAATTTGTGCCTTGAGATCATGCTCTATGCCTTTAATTTTTGCCTAGAAAATTTTAAACTTTTCACATTTGGAAGAGTGTGAGTAATACATTCCTACAAATCTCATGACAATCAGCAGCTGGATATCATAAACCCAAATTAATGCTTCCCCGTGAGAAAAAGCAAGGACTACTCAGCAGTTTTCTGTCATTTATGGCATCAACTAACTAACCAGTCGGTGTGCATACCTTGTTGCATCATAACTAAAACAGTGGATGTTAGGATTATAGGGAGGAAATTTCTAGGATAAAAACCACACATGCTTGCAGAACACATTTAAATCCATGCCACAGGAGGACCTAGTACCTATGGAGCCTACCTACAGAGGCTCATAGAGTGAAGATGTAAACTCCAAAGTACAGCTTCTTGGGACTGGAAGCTCAGGAGAAGTGCCCCAGGCAGGATGGAAAAAAAAAAGTCTGAAAAAAGGAGGGAGGGTAACTGTGGAATAGAGGGCATGTTTCTGAGATGGGGAGCTGGCATGTAAGCTTGGTTTGTCAGGCGATGCTGATGGCATTTGGCAACAGGAACTTTTTGCTCTTACATGGGCATTCTTACATTTCGGGGGACAAAAGAGATGAGTATTTAGTTCATAAACATAATCTTTCAGGAAAATCTTACCTCTCCTGTGTCCTCGGTTAGACAGTATCAAAGATGTACTTTCAGAAATACTATTAGAGTCACTGTAGTCCACAGAGAGTTGTCTGTAATCTTCTGTTGATTGACTGTAATTCATTAATCTGGACCCTTTGTCTGGAAACAGAAAGAAATATGGTGAATCGCATACTTTAATTATAAATCATTGTATCTGCATGGTAATGTAAGTAACATTTGGCTTAACTAATTTTTATATTGTCCATGCCCACTGTCTTCTAACACTGACTTCAACTCCTTAAAGACAAAGGAAAGATTGGTAACTTCATTCTACAACTTTCATAATCTTGTTCTGACCCAAAATAGTTCTTATAGTTCTCCTAAGACATTCTGAATAAAACAAATTAACATATTAATTCTATTCTACATGTTATGTGGAAAGGTTGCAAAGTGCAGATAACCTGCAGTTCTCCTTTCTTACATTCTGAGACCCAAAACCTTCAGCTATAATGTATTATCTCTATGTGCGGGATGGAGAGTGCCCAGAGACAAGCCACTAGCAGTGTTGGCTGCATAAATTCCATTAAGGAGTCATTCTAGGTCATTAGGAAGTACATGTTTTTGTTGCACCTTAACTTTACTTTGGTTGCATTGTCTCTTTCCCTTTTCCAGAACCTCTGAAGGTTGTAATTTTTAATTAAATACAAAGAAAGAAATGAATGCTGCCTTGAGAAGTGTGGCTCACACATTCTCAATGTAATCAACATCCTGATTCATTGAAGTCCTTCAGTGTAAGCCACATGACCTGAATCCCTAGAAAACATGGAGATCACCCCAGATACATAATCATGAGAACCAGTAGAAGGGAAATGGTAGGAATTTGAAACTAATAGGGTGTTGAGGATGGGACCATCGCTTTTGGCAGTAGCAGAGTTTTTACCAGCTTATGCAAGTGTGAACCTATAAACTCAGTTTCTGAATGAGTGAGCTGATGTGCTTTGAAGGGTGGTTTACCTGTACGTTTTCAAAAGAATGTCATTTTCTTATGACCAATAATACCTAATAGACAGAAATGTTGTGCAGGTATTTAAGCATGTGTTTAATTCTAGATGGAGTTAATGGGACATACATGTGATTTGCTGAATAGGAATTGGATTGTTCATATGCCTAATACTGAGCATATAAAAAAAAAAAATGCCCTCATAGCTTTCTCTAACCTTCGCTTTTGCACAGAATTAGAGACTTTTGTTGAAGTGAACATTACAATATAGAGACTAGAAAAAAATAACAACTATCTGAACCTGAAGCTCACATTTAGTTACAGCTAGAGAATTAGTCTGTGGGATAATAAAATCTTGAGTTTAGTCAAATGAAATGTGAAATTAGTATACGCTGGTTTATTTATATAGTGAGCAGGATTTGGCCTTGTGTCTTGAAATCACTCCAGCAATCCGTGTTTGAATTTATAAAACATCTCTGAACACAAAACCAAAACTAAAATAAAAAGAATCCACAAATCTTTGCTTGAGTAATCCATCAGGAAGCATGAATATATATTCTTTAATGGCAACAGGATAACTTCACAGAATCCCACTCTTTACCTTCAGAAATACACTGGAGTATGCAAATATAACAGCATATTCCATATAAAAAGCAGTTTCAAAATCAGGCTTTTTTATATGCACAGGTTTTATGCAAAGTGCTTTAAGAGGTGAATCTGTGCAAGCTGATTCGTTATCATTGCTTCACAGCCCTCAGACTACTGTCCTTTGTGGAAATAAGGAACAGAAACCTTGCTGACTTGCCTCAGAGTCTTTCCATTACGAAGTCATTTATATGTAAAGCAATAAATATCCTATCCAACACTACTTGTAATCACCACAGCGTTAAATTAAACAAGTCGCCTAACCTGGGAAAGACTCAGAAAAGGCTGGCTGTATCCTCATTACACAGTTCAGATTGTAAGTCTTTTTTTACCTTGGTGAAAATTCATCTGGGAGTACAGTGGTGAGCTGTCCGATATTTTCTCATGCAGCCTTTTCCTTATCACATGACTTCTGTTAAGCTGAGAGGCTGTGCTGTCTTCGTTGACTACCCGCTCTGCCTAGAAGACAGTAGTACTGCAAGTCAATGTCATACGATATGTGGACTTCGGACTCTCATATTGAAGTGATCCTTGCCCTCTGCTTGTCAGAGGCTGCTGATTGTGTTGGTATAAACAACTTCATCTTCTCAGATTAACACAAAGCAGGATTGAGTTTTGATGGCTTTTTGTTCTCATGCAATCTGTGGTTAAGAGGGGACACTCTCTCTTACACTGGGAAATAGAGTAATAAAGAGTGCAAGGGAAAAGGTCATCTCAGAATATTAATGAATACTGGTTGAAAACAGGGAAAAAACCCACAACCCTGCAGTGTATTTTCCAGTTTCATTCAGCTTGTCAACAAAAATTCTTAGTTGATATTTCAAATCTTGAAAAAGACTCAGGTGCTCACTTATTAAAAACTTCACATGGTCAGGCTTAATTGAACAGCAGGTGTTCAGTTCCACTCAAGAATGATAAATTGAATTCTCAATATGATGTAGATGTGATTTCTTCAAATTTCTCAAAGACCGAAACCAGAGGGGCAACAGAGAAATCTTTTGTGTAAAGACAAATGGCCAATATGAGGGTTCTGTAAAAGTTATAATTGCTTCAATATTAACAAAAGAAATGAAGGTACAAACTGGGTTTGTGTTGTTTCCCAGGAGTGTAAGAGTGGTGTGAGAGATGGCTTAACTGCTTCATTTGCTTGTACACATGGTCACACAATTTCCTGCTTAGAAGTCTAAAACCAAATCTAACTTCCTGAATTCATACAAGCATTAATTTCAAGCAATTGCTCACCACGACGCTGCTCTTCTCTCTCACCAAAGATTATATATGAGAGTAGTACCTACCTCACTGACACTTCCCACAGCAAACTGGACCATTTTTCTTATATAGACATTGGCTGGTAAGAAAGCAGCTTCTTTCTGATGTGCCTCACATGCTTCCAGAATTGACTCAGGAGAAAGTCTTTTGTGTGGCAGATCTTCACATAGTGTCAGCAAGAGCATGTGTAGTTGGTCACTCAGCTGGAGGGACTGAGTCAAAATACAGGTACTGTTAAATGACATCTCCCAGTGATCTGAAATTCTCTGTAAACTGCAACAAGGGATTTCTGTAAACCTTTTACTCTGGGTGAGAAATGGGCAGCGAATTCCTTCAGATTTTGGGAAAATTCCATAGAGGCAGCATAACAGCACTAAATGGCGCCACTAATGGCATCCAGAGGGAACTGGCATTGACAAGGAAACTCATCAGGCCGTATAGGGGCTTCCTGATGACAGACAACAGCTCAATTTCTCCACAGCTTTGCTAATTAGACTGTGACTCTTAAAAGATTCATGCAAGTAAGATATGTGACAGCATTAGCTTTAAAAAGGTGAGGAGTTATACCTGCCGAAACTGTTACCACAGAGACGAGATACTTACATTTTAGGGTCATTTAGCTTATAGAGCTTTTTCTCTTAGACCATGTATACCCACAAAAGGGAGGTTAGATCTACTAAAAGTTTGTGCTTTTCAAATAAAAACCATGCAGTTAAAGGCATGGATACAGAAATGAAGCAAAATGTGTGCTACAATTCTTTGAGAGAATTCTGGGTACAAAGAAATGCAAAATTTCAACTAGCAGAGATACTGGTAGAATTTGCACAGAAATAAGGAGAGTCATTCAGTTTACGTAGCATCCCATTCTTTGAAAAAGCACATAAATGTGCACAGCACCACAGTCATGTGGACATGATGTTTTTCTTTTAGCCCTTCTGTCCTGGGTTTAGCAGGATTTTAGAATCATCGCTCCATAGTATCATAGAATGATTTAGATCGGAAAAGACCTCTAAACCATCAAGTCCAGCTGTAGCCCTTATACTGCAAATCCACCACTAAACCATGTCCCTAAGTGTCACATCTACACATCTTTCAAATATCTCATGGGACAGTGACTCAGCCACTTCCCTGGAGAATCTGCTCCTTATTACAGCCTTGGAATAAATAATCTTCACTCTTAACAGCAAGGCACAATTAATCTTATTTCGAAAAATTCTGTTTTTTGAAGAGAAAGAGAGAGAGAAAAAAAGGAAAGTAAAGATGAGGCTCAACTAAATTTCTGACTTGGATTAACTAGTATTTTTGGTGAAGTCTGGACCTTGACATAGGATTTCCAATTTTTTCTAGTGGTCCAAAACATAAAGCCCCTCCCTCTGAGATTTCAGATTATGCCTCTCAATCTTTGAATCTACTAATATAAAACACAATAAAAGTTCAAACTTCAACAGGGGAAGTTCAGGTTAGATATAAGAAGTTCTTTACTGTGATGGTGGTGAGGCTCTGGAACAGGGTGCCCAAGGAATTTGTGAATGCTCCAGCCCTGGCAGCGTTCAAGGCCAAGCCTTGGGTGACATGGTTTAGTGTGTGGTGTCCCTGCCCATGGCAGGGGGGTTGGAACTGCATGATCTTAAGGTCCTTTCCAACCCTAACTATTCTATGACTATTCTAAACCAAAAATGTGTTACTGGCCTGGTTTGGAGGAACCTGGTAGTCTGCTGACCAATAGAGGGTCATTCCTAAGGAATACACCAACATCTGTTAAAACAGAAAAGGAAAGCCTTTATGAAGTCAACATTAAATACAGAAAAGTGTTGTACCAGAGAGACCACCTTTTGTGGCTCTGGTCACCAAAGGCAGAAGCCAAAGAAATGTTGAAAAAAAAAAAAAAAGCTAGACTAGAGGAAGCATATGAAAGTACAATAGTGACTCAGCTTACAGACTAGGTAGCATGCAGTGAGTATTGTTCAGCTTGAGCGGTTGACCCAGACTTCCCTTTATCCAGTGATGCGATGAGTAGGAAAAGAAATTTTAACTCCTTTTTAGTTCTGAAGCAATCTCGTTGGTCATTAAAGCTCTCTCCTACCTGTGGAGCTAACTAGCACTCATGTCCATCTATTCCAAAGCTTTACGTTTCTGCATAGCGTCAAAGTGATTGGTTACATAGGAGTCTGAAACTACTGTGTTCTGCCTGAGGGCAGTATGCAGTTATGCAGTCCTAGTGGTTTGTAAATCTTATACATACCTGAGTGTTGTATCTTACTGTCTTTCCAGAGAGACTTATTTGGCAGGGAGAAGAAAAGTAAATTGTTAACAAAGCTGAAGATATTTCTGACTTCCTGGGAGTGCTTCCACTCTCTGACTGTAATTACAATTACCATATCTGGTCAAACATCATGTTCATAGAAATATTCTTCCTTTCTGTGGGCCTTTACATATAATACATTTGTGTAGATCTTGAGGACTGATGTCTAAAATTTATTTTGATGATGACATGCATGCTATCTAATGGCAAGCTGCAAGACACATCTAAATCTTTCTTACTGTAGCGTAATGAGTGTTATCAGAAACAGAATTTGACAATAGATACCTGGTATACTGCATTAAAACCCGCAAGCTTGTCTTCATGAGGTACTATCAAGATTTATTTTCTAATATACCTTACCTTTGTTAGTCCAATGTGCTGGTTTTTACTTTGTCTTTGGAGCAATTCTGGTGCACTGAAAGGTACAGCTTCTGTCTGGGATGCATTGTTTTGGAAGGACAGATTTCCTTCAGCAGACAGTAGTACTGACCATGGACAAATCACACAGATGGCAGGATCTGAAAAATGTTGAAGAAAATAATGGAGTTTTTAGTGTTAATTTTACTGTGCTTTATAAAATTATATTGCTGGTGTCTCACCTGCATAGCCAAACCCATCAATGAATTTTCATGGAGATGTACCCAGAAGTCAGTGGAATCATGCTCATTTATCATAGAATCATAGAATAGTTAGGGTTGGAAAGGACCTTGAGATCATCTAGTTCCAACCCCCCTGCCATGGGCAGGGACACCTCACTCTAAACCATATCAGCAAGGCCTCGTCCAACCTGGCCTTGAACACTGCCAGGGATGGAGCATTCACAACCTCCCTGGGCAACCCATTCCAGTGCCTCACCACCCTAACAGGAAAGAATTTCCTCCTTATATCCAATCTAAACTTCCACTGTTCAAGTTTGAACCCATTACCCCTTGTACAGTCACTACAGTGCCTAATGAAGAGTCCCTCCCCAGCATCCCTGTAGGCCCCCTTTCAGATACTGGAAGGCTGCTATGAGGTTTCCATGCAGCCTTCTCTTCTCCAGGCTGAACAGCCCCAACTTTCGCAGCCTGTCTTCATACGGGAGGTGCTCCAGTCCCCTGATTATTCTCCTGGCCCTCCTCTGGACTTGTTCCAACAGTTCCATGTCCTTTTTATGTTGAGAACACCGGAACTGCACACAGTACTCCAAGTGAGGTCTCACGAGAGCAGAATAGAGGGGCAGGATCACCTCCTTCGACCTGCTGGTCACGCTCCTTTTGATGCAGCCCAGGATACGTTTGGCTTCCTGGGATGTGAGTGCACACTGAAGCCAGCTCATGTTCATTTTCTCACCAACCAACACCCCCAAGTCCTTCTCCGCAGGGCTGCTCTGAATTTCTTCTCTGCCTAGCCTGTAGCTGTGCCTGGGATTGCTCCGACCCAGCTGTAGGACCTTGCGCTTGGCATGGTTAAACTTCATGAGGTTGGCATCAGCCCACCTCACAAGCATGTCAAGGTCCCTCTGGATGTCATTCCTTCCCTCCAGCGTATCAACCGAACCACACTGCTTGGTGTCATTGGCAAACTTGCTGAGGGCGCACTCAATCCCACTGTCCATATCAGTGACAAAGATGTTAAACAAGACTGGTCCCAACACCGATCCCTGAGGGGCATCACTCGTTACTGGTCTCCAGCTGGACATTGAGCCATTGACCGCAACTTTTTGTGTGTGGCCATCCAGCCAGTTCTTTATCCACTGAGTGGTCCATTCATCAAATTGATGTCTCTCTAATTTAGAGACAAGGATGTCGTGTGGGACAGTGTCGAACGCTTTACACAAGTCCAGGTAGATGACATCAACTGCTCTACCGCTGTCCATCAGTTCTGTAGCCCCATCATAGAAGGCCACCAGATTGGTCAGGTAGGATTTCCCCTTAGTGAAGCCATGCTGGCTGTCACCAAGCACCTTGTTGTTTCTCCTGTGCCTTAGCATGCCTTCCAGGAGAATCTGCTCCAAGATTTTGCCAGGCACAGAGGTGAGACTGACTGGTCTGTAATTCCCTGGGTCATCCATTTTCCCCTTCTTGAAAATGGGGGTTATATTTCCCTTTTTCCAGTCTTCAGGAACTTCACCTGACTCCCATGATTTTTCAAATATGATGGACAGTGGCTTAGCAACTTCATTTGCCAGCTCCTTCAGGACCTGTGGATGGATTTCATCAGGTCCCATGGACTTGTGCACGTTCAGATTTTTAAGATGGTATCGAACCAGTTCCTCTCCTACGGTGGGCCCAAGGTCCTCATTCTCACAGTCCCTGCGTCTGCCTTCAAAGACTTGGGTGGTGCGGTCAGAGCCTTTGACAGTGAAGACCGAGTCAAAGAAGTCATTCAGAACCTCAGTCTTCTCCAAATCCTGTGTAGCCAGTTCTCCCAAGAGCTTCCTGAGGGGACCTATGTTCTTCCTAGTCTGTTTTTTACTTGCTATGTACCTGCAGAATCCCTTCCTGTTATCCTTAATATCCCTAGCCAAGTTTAATTCTAACTTGTCCTTAGTTTTCCTAACCTGGTCCCTAGCTTCCCGGACAACATCCCCAGGCTGTCTGTCCTTGCTTCCACTTTCTATAAGACTCTTTTTTCATTTGAATTTTCCTCAGCATCTCCTTATCCATCCAAGGAGGTCTCCTGGCCCTCCTGCTGCATTTCCTTCTAGTTGGGATGCAACACTCCTGAGCTTGTAGCAGGTGATCCTTGAAGACCAACCGGGAGTCTTGGGCCCCCCTGCCCTCTAGGGCTATATCCCATGGAACCTTACTAAGCAGGTTCCTGAAGAGGCCAAAATCTGCTCTCCTGAAGTCTAGGGCAGTGAGCTTGCTGCACGCTCTTCTCACTGTCCTAAGGATCTCAAATTCGACCATCTTGTGGTCGCTGCATCCAAGGCTG